TTGGCGTGAAAGAGTAACAGACAGGCAGACAGACAGAGTTACTTTCGCATTTATAGTGCACGGCTGCTGCAAAGCATCCGAAACGTCGGACCGAAGTTAAAAATTATTTTCAAATAAGTTTAACTAATATATCGCGTTTTAAACTGTTAACGTGTTTTATTTAAAGGAAGTAAGGATTATACATTAGATAGTTGATAACAAGGACCCGAGTTTAAATACCCGAGCCAGCTAAAATACTGTGCTAACATTTTACTTAATTTAAAGGATTTCTGTGCCATTTATATAAGAACGCTTTATAGTTCAACGTAAAAGCTATTATCTACATAATATACATATATTTTGTATTATTGGATATTTATTTTTAATACTTTGTATTGTAAAGAGTACCGAAAGTAAGGTATATGTTAGTTTTTAAATTATCTTTATTTAAATTTCTTAAGTTAAGTTTTTGTTTAAGGAAAACTTATACTATATAGGTGCCATAGTCACAAAGTGAAACAAGTGCCTTATACAAATTACAAATCCACTGTAAAATTAATAATCCACTGTATAGTTTGCGCGAGTAAAACTTTTTAAACGGTTTAAACACGAATCGCGTTCTTTGGGACAGCAGTTTCGTTATGTCGGGTCGTGGCTATAAATTGACAAATACATTTCATATTTAAACCGATTAAGTTGTTTTGATTGAACCTTCCTTAAATTGAAAACGTGTGGAAATTCAAATGAGAGTGCAATAAAACAAAATGATAACAATATTCCTTATTTGAACATTTTATCACGAGTGCTGTTACGTCAATCAAGACGCAGAACAAACGTAATGCCGCTAATAAAGTCTTAAAATATTAAATACCTTTATACATGACAGAGTTTAAATATTATTTAGTCACCTTTGCACAAATGTCATTGTTTATTCATTCGTAGATGACGAAAAGGTTTATTTAAGAAAATCTTCGTGATAATTATATGTATATAAATTATAAATGATTCGATATGATTTTAAGGTCCCCTGTATGTAATAAGTGCTTTGTATATAAAGGGTTAAGAGTTTCTTTATATTGTTGAATATACGTTTAGCTTGATGAAAGAACAGTAGTTTGTAACATATTGTCTTTTATGTCTGTATCTTTTAGAAACTCAAATAAAACACTTTTAACAATTGAAAATGGGAAATATATGATCACGGAACGGCCACGGCTGCAGCGAGACATCCGTAGCTTTAATACGTGGTTAAAATTATTTCGTCGGGTCATTAAAATTTAACTAAATATTTCGCGTTTTGAACAGTTAGAAGAATATTTTAGATGCTATGTTAGTGTTATGATTTGAATAATATTATTGTGTATTGATTTATTGAATTTCGATTCCCGAGTTAGTCATTTGAGGCTGATAATATTATCTGATTGGAAGTTGGTAGAATGTAGCAGAAATGCCTTGAGCTTCGATAATATTTATCTGCCCTGACCTGTGTCAACAACAAAGGGCATGGCAAGATGTAACCCTATATTTCAAAGAGCAATTATTATGGCGTCACCTTCGTCTAGTTAAATTTAGATTTTATTCATAGTTAATTACTAAAAAAAATGGATGGAGAGTCTGAAATAAAAAATTTTACGTGTGTTTGATTGAATAGAAGAATGGGACATCTGTTTCGTGTTGTTCTAGAATTGTTAATAAAAACAAAAAAAATCAAGTATTCACACGATACAGTTCCCGATAAATGCAACAATGTTTTAAAAAAATAGAAATAAAAAATAACACCAAATAATTTGACTACCTACTTCTGAGTTAGTGATTCTAGCTAAAATTAATATGTTTAATACATCTCTTTCTTATCTCTCTTTTTATTTTACACGATTTTTTGGTATTTTTCGGCAAGTTGGTAACACGTTATTAAAATATAGACAATATTATATATTATCTGTTCAAGTACCACAGCCCATGAGCTATATTTGGAAGAATAGTTATATGTATTGATTTTTTCTTTATTTACACACATTTGTAACACTTATTTGGTAATTGCTAAGGCATATTCAGATGGTTGAACTGTAAGAGGTTACGTCACTATTTTACTTTTAAACTTACAATATCTATTTGCTTAAGTGATACCTAACTAACTTCCTTACTGGTGCGAATTACGAATAAGATTTTTACATAATTAACTTTATTTTTAACGGTTAAATAATAATAAAGAATACAGATAATATATAAAGTGTTATACGAAGCCTGGTTGTGTCAACTAAATATTAAAGGTTATACGTAGCCTACTTATATCCTGTTGTTGTTTGAAATGTGTTCAATAACGTTCAAATGAAACATTACTACTTTTATTCAGGTTTTAAATTTCTTGTTATTGGTAAGTTAGTATCGGCTTCGACTTTTTATCTAACAATTTATTCAACTAACTCAAATAGTTTTAGGTTGACACATAATCCCGGTTACTATTATTAAGTGATATTTATATCTTTTTCTGTGTACCTCTTTTTTACGTATGTACGACTAGGAATTAGACGCGCAACCTCACTCCACGAATTTAATTCGATATTTGTGACATCACATGAGTGTTTCTCGACTCAGCAATCAAATCTGGTAATAAAACTCTTTGGTACTCCAGTGTTCTCTTTGTTTTCGAGATTATTTCGCCTTTACTCACTTAGTTATAAAAGAGTGTTAAAAAATGGTTAGTTAAAATTATTAAATTACTTTCCTGCTTAAAAACCTCATCAATTGTTAAATATATATTATGTAAGGACTAAGAGATAAATACGACTCGTGAATTGTACCAGTGTGTATTTACTAAAACGTTTTGTTTACATCGAAAAATGTAAAAACAAATCCACAATTGTCCTGTTGTTAGTTGAAAATAGCAATTCTTTGTATCGTCATTCATCTATTATTCTCATTTTTGAACACAACTCTTAAACTAGGCCACTATATGCAGGATGCAGACAAATATAAAAGCTTGGTGGCACAATAGTGATTTAAAAGCAAATAGATTCACCAAAATAGGCGTTTTCAGTATCAAAGCTCAACTTCTCAAGATGTCGCGGTAAATTCAAAAAAGTCGTAATACAAAATGGCGTGTTTCAAGAACTTTATTGTATACGAACTGTGTCTAAAGACTATGGCATTTGCCACTTATATAATCAGAGTACTGATAAAAAATTACTTATTACAAAAAAACGCTATTACTAACGGTTCAAAATAAGAAATATATTAAATACTGTCTATAGTTTACGCGAGTAGTACACATTTAAATAAAACACTTTAACGGTTTAAAATGCGATATATTAGTTAAACTTATTTGAAAATGATTTTTAACGAAACGTCGGGCCGAAGTTAAAAATCATTTTCAAATAAGTTTAACTAATATATCGCGTTTTAAACCGTTAAAGTGTTTTATTTAAAAGAAATATATTGGTTAACTGCTAAGCATGTAAAGCGTTGGGCCGGCAGGTTGAAGTAAAATAAAAATAAGTAAACTATTATATTTCACGAATTAAACCGAAGGAAGTGCATCTGTAAATAGTTTAGATGTAGTATTGAAATATGCCTACATTTTTATTTACACATGCAAAATGTCATTGATAAATTTTTAATTTAAATAAATTTTAATTAAAACACGAAAGGTATTTTCTTTGCATATGTATCGCGGGCTAAATGTAGTTTTTTCAATAACCAAAGAAAAAGTCCTTCCAATAAGAATACTGTCAGATGAAGTAGATTATCATTTCCTCAAACATATTTCGATAAGTCAAGACGCTTTATCAATATATTTTAAATATGTTTATTTATATATTATGACGTCATCGCGCTTTCTTGCAGACTAAAATGGCCGAAATCATCATTAATACATATTAACACGTGTGTTTCAACAACAACATAACACTTAATAGCATATTATCTAGGTTATTAAAAGCAGTATTGTTTGTAGTTTACACAGTAAAACTCTTTTGACGGTTAAAAACGTGAAATGTATAAGTTAACTTCTTTACAGTTTATTTTAACTACAACCCAATTCGAATGCATTGCTGCAGTCGTGGATTCCGAAGAATCGTAATATGTAGATTCGTTTGCTTAGGGGACAGCAATCTGTTCAAGTAATAGTCTGAAAATAAAGTCGAACAGGGGATGGACACAAAAATGTGTCTGCTTTATATCAGTTAAATTTTATTGTAGGTAAAAGGCGCATTTTTTATATATTCAGTCAGTAAGGCTTCAACATTAGGTAGATATTACCTGACACTGATATAACCTGTGACAGAATAGCGTGGTAACGATTTTCGTGGATACCCACGTAACGTGTTATGGCACCAGTGGGCTTCCAATTTCAAAATTAAATAGATTAGATAGAAATTTCGTTAGCTTAAGTCATCATTTTTTTCAAAGGTTCTTTTTGGTTGGATAAGCGTAGTGGGTAAAAGATGTTAAAACCCACTCCCTTACGGGTGAAGAGATCTGTATCTACCAGTACCTAGATATTAATAGATTGACACGAATATATATATATATGAACAAACGGATTTCAAGCTTTAAATAGAAAACAAAGGCTGATGTTCCCATATTATCATAGATCTTATCTCTTTGTCGCGTTTAAGCGGTAGCCCGCAAATACCATAACGACATATAAGCACATAATATGTATATACCTACATTTACATTACTGCTGTGCATGTAACGTGTTTCGTTATTCGGAAATATGTATTCTAATTTGTGAAATATGTTACTAGTTTACTTAATAAGGTAAAATAGAAACTACACAAGGTAACAGTTAAACTAGCGCCCTCTGTAGACGTTTCTCCAAGAGTTACCAATGCGAACCGTGGTCTTGAGTAACATGGTTGATTTTCATGAATAATGATTTAATTTGTATTGTTATTACATAATAATGAATGCATATAGTGCATTTCAACGTACGGCTTTGCAAAAATACTCTTTTCAGGTTTATATACAAATAATAGTTAAGAGTAGGTTTGAAGTTGTATAGATGGTGTTCCACTCACCATCATAATCCTTGCCCATTCCCATCACAAAGGCGCTCCTCATGAGGTGTCCCATCTTGAATACGCTAAACGATGCTGAACTTGTGCAGAATTTGAGTGTACGCTAATTCTAGCATATATACTTTACATAGATAGTAAAACTTTATATATATCAACTATATATACTCGCAAATAAAGATAAACGCATAAGTAACAAACAATGGTACGAGAATTACCGCGCGAGTCGGCCGAAAAGCTAAGCGGCTACATCTCTGCTAGAATTAACAATAAACGCTTTTCTGATGGGAGATAGCCCAGTAATGTATATTGTATCGTCACCAAACTATTAATGATGTAAACTGAGCGCTAACCGAAATTATAGGTCGCGATTCTCAGGGGACAGAGGCAGGGGAGGAGTCGAGATAATATAAACTAATAAAACGAGATAAAATAGTTCGCTGCGTAGAGCCTGAAGTGTTTCATGAGAATATTGTTATTAAATGCTGTGTTTGAGAACAATTTCTACGATAGACAAGGATGGAGAAAAAAATACCCCAGCCATACAGCATTTAAACAAGACGCGCTCTGGATCTATTTTCGCCATTGGATGTTCAGAAAAACACGAACTGAAACCGAAACGTGATAAAACTTCACGCCTTTTTCATCTGTGGACGGTGGTTCATGACCTGGACGGAATTCCATTTACCAAATTTATTTTCAGATTTCTAGACGAAGTCTATCATGTTTCAGATTAAGTTGATTAGAAATATGTTGTGACATAAATTGATACCTATAGGTTCAGCTACAGAGGAACGTATTTCATTAATTTGTGAAGGTCTATAGAAATCCTAACAGTATTAGGGATTAAAGTACATAATACGACACTATATATTTTTTTTAGTATCTGTCAAGCAGAGCTTCGATTACAGTCTGGAATAGATGTCAAATTAATATCTAAATGTCAAAAAATAGTTACATTTAACCTTCTATTAAATAAAATGCATGCTTATCTATTCTTCCTTGTCATAGTAAAGTTAAAGCAATATCAAGCATGATTTTAAAAGGGTTTATTTAGCTTGACCCGTACAGAGTTTATTTATTTGGGTCAAAATTGGAAATTTAAATTTAAGCACCTTCCCGTTGTCAGATTGATCTGAAATTTGGTACACACATTTAATTTAGATGACAATACAATATCATAAAAACATTATAAATCCAAGATGGCCGTCGATACAAAATGGCGGATTACATATTTTTCCTTAACCCCCTCAATATGGGTATCAAATGAAAGGGCTACACTAGTAAAACACGATGATTATGTCAAAATTTCAAATTGTTTGTAGTGCACAAAAATAAAACCGTTTACTTAAAAGTTTTTTTAAGTTGATACTTGTACTTTATGAAGGTAGAAGATAATAGAACATTTTCCACTCCATGCATGCCTAGTTTGCAAATACTATTGTTGACTTTAGCAGTCTAATATCTACGTAATATACTAAGATTCTAAGACGCACATGGTATGTCAATATACATATAATTATCTTCGTAACCACAATATCACGAGGTAATTCTATATTTATAAGTATAGTAGTAAATTCCTGCTTTCCCATAAGAGGTTTAATATAATAATATAATAGATAAGACTATATTTTAATTTGAATAATAACGAACGATATCACTAGAGAAAAAATTGTTTGGGGCCTTGTGTAAAAGCGTTCAAAAAATTCCTAACTAACGCGTAGTTACATATACTAATCTAATAAGCTTTTATATGAAATTATTGAATGATGAAAACGCGATGAAACTTCACTGGATTTTTTTCTTTGACGGCGGTTCGTAACTCGGAAGGAATGTCCATATTACTACCCCCCTTTTAATATCCAGATTTCCTGACGAAATCAAACATGTTTTAGAAAAACTATAAAATGTTTAGAAAAATAGTGGACCAGGTGCGATTCGAACCCACGACCCGCTGATCCGTTCATGATGATCGTACTTCTTTACACTTCACCACATTAAAATACTTACCACGTCTATACTGAAAATGCATATTATTTCATTACAGATTAGCCACCATCCTTAGTCTCTATAAAGTCAGGTGGCTTGAGACATATTGCTGTAGTTGTTTTACTTTATGACTCCAGGCATATGTATAATCTATCAAACGGACTCGGGTGTCCCCTATCCCAAATAGAGAAAATAATTTCCCAATTTTATATATTATGGCTAAGGTGGGCATTTCATTTAAAGGTTAAAGCAAATTGGGTGTAAAATTGTGACATTCCTCGGTTCACAAGACGATGTGATACTTTTGAATGTAGGTCAATAATTTTCCTTCCCTTCACGACCAACCGACCCTTTACGACCCTTCGTGAATCCCTAGTGGTGTATTCTATAATTATATGCGCGACTACGTGATATAAAAATACAAACTTACCACAGATTACCTATGTTTAAACTGTTCTTACATTTAAAAAATACAATAATTATCGATTAGTCTTCCATACTTGCAATAAATACAATTATAACGACCTCGTTCAATACTTACAGAGGGCTATACACGGTAACAAAATATGCGGCCTACAGACTGTGTCTTACGAGTCCAACTTAATACATTTATTTCTTAATGATTTTGCTTCAAGACCTCCCAACTTTGATCAAGTGCTGTTGGATATTCAGACCTTTTTTTCTGTATAAAAAAATATTCAGAAGAGGCGATAGCTATATTTAGTTAGCCATGTAATGTATTCCAAAGTAACGAAACGCTTTAACAATTACGAAAATAACTTAATTATGTTTGTTTACGTTGCTATGGTTACGACCTTGCTTATAGTTCGTTGTTCAATTTCACTTGAATGTTGTGGCTTTATCATGGGTCAGTAGATTTTTTAAACAGAAATCGGATTTTTGTTCGATACAATATAAAATATATTTCTTATGTGATTAAAGACTTACGACTGAAAATAGCTAGATCTTATAACATTACCAACATTAACAGCACTTTATCAACGTTGAGTTTGAAAAATTCCAATTATAATTGTTTTTACATTCTCATTGTTACGTTTGGATTTAAATTTTGATCAGGAAAACGTAACATAGTATATGTTGCGCTAAAATATAATACACGTATGTGTATTGTAATAATCAAGGAGTTGCGGATTCGATCTCTATTATAAAAAAAAAACTGCTGAAACGAAAAATGCTTGTGTTGTCAATATTTTGTATTGCTGTAAATATTCATGTAAATAAATTTGAAATATGATAAGATACGAAAATGTGACAAGGATTTTCTCGTGAGTGACAGCAGTAGGGATAAGACGAACGCGTAGTTTTGTCGAGTGTTTAATCTAAATTGTTATTTTCTACTTGAATACCGAGGAAGCCGAAAGAAAGGTTATTGACTAACTGTGATAGCAACTTCGTCCGCGTCCTATCGTTTTTCAAGTTAATCTTCAAAGATAGGCATATACTGTCGTGGATATTTTTTTTAGATCATTTAAGGTGGATCATTCTGTTATACATATCTTCCAGGTATTTTAAATCGTTTTCACAGCGCACCAAATGGAAATTTTCAATTCGAACCTATACATATGTATTTTTGTATGTTTCACTCTTCATTTAGAGGCGTCTCTACATTAGAGGGTAACAAACCATTCGTAATTATGGAACCGGAGCCGGGGCTACATGTATGTATACAAAAAAACTGAGACTCCAAAACCGATTAAAAAATATTAGATAATGTATTACTTAGATATATATGTCAGTTTTGCTTAAACATATTATACAAAACTCTGTAATACGCGAAATATTATGTTGGTTATTATCTTTTTAATAAATAGTTCTTTTCTTCAAGGAGGGACTACATAAATTATTAATATATTTAAAGAAATTGGTAAGTATACAATCGAAATAATTATATTTATATATCACATCGATAACAATAGGGCGGGAAAGCGTGGGGTTGATTTAATGGATGGTGATATGTTCTCCAATCGTGTTGGGTACGTGATGGCGACCCGTGTGGTATTATGATATTCCACCCACACTCCACCACCCATTTAAAGTCCTGATTAATTCCAGTGATTTATAAAGAAGATAACACATTTTTTATAAACATAAAACAAAAACTACTTAATTGACGCTACAAGATAGCACAAAAAAGATTTAATCAGAATTAATTTCAAAAAATGTAGTGGGAAATGGCGGCTTCAAAGATTTCTTCTAGGCAAACTTGAAGATGGAGATTTACAATACTAATTGAAAATAAGTGTAACATTAGAGCTATAATAAGTTTATATAATGCTAAGAATGTCCTTAAAGTTAGACTTAGTAATTAAAACAATTTTCTTAATCAAATTTCTAAACCTTACAGATAGTGGGTATCAACGGTTGCCATTCAACATATTGAAGGGGAATAAAATCCATAGCCCGTTGTTTATAAGACACTGGCTGTGCCTGTGACTTCGTTCGCGTGGAATAGTGACTTGGGGTAGAATTTTTAATTAATTAGGCTGTTTATTCATTTATGTAAAGGCGAATTTAAGGCAACCAATCTATGTTGTAAGTGCTACTTTGCCGCAACACGCTTACCTCACATTACTCCTAATCTAACTCCCACTCCTATTCCAAAAAGAGTTGTTCCAGCTTCAAACACCACTCCCATACATATCTTAAACCCCCAGCCCCCCTTAAACATAACCTATGTCCTTTCTTCGGGTCCAGACCATCTGTGTACCAAATTTCATTCAAATCCGTTCAGTAGTTTTGGCATGAAAGAGTAACAGACTGACAGACAAGACAGAGTTACTTTCGCATTTATAATATTAGTAAGGATACCCAAGGACAAGTAGATTGACACAATGTTGGATCAACAGCCTTTAAAAATATTGCATTATTTTAAATTGTTGTAGGCCCTTAGAGAAGTAGTAAGTGACTATAGTTGGACAAATAAAACCGTGGTCCCCGTGGTCACGAGAAGACACGGCTGCTGCAAAGCATCGGAAACATCGGGCCGAAGTTAAAAATCATTTTCAAATGAGTATAACTAATATATCGCGTTTTAAACCGTTAAAGTGTTTTATGTAAATGTGTACTACTCGCGTAAAATATCGCACTCATGACCTGATAACGCAATTAGTACAAGGGTAATAAAGATGCAACCATACGGAGCCCTCAAGGCGAACCACGAACTAATTTCCACACGCATATAGAGACGAAGTCTCTACTTTACTTTTTTTTTCATGACAGAGGAGGACAGACAAGCACGAGATTCACTTGATGGTAGGTAACATACTTCAGCATATAGCATCTAAACAAGAATCGTTTGCGAACTATTTTAGCTTCGGATATTCGGACATCCACAGACTAAAACCGTCTTTTTCTTCTGTTGTTCGTGATCAGGACGGAATTTCGAAATTCCTGCAACCGATTCAATCCAGATTTCCAAAGTCCAACATGTTTCATAAAAATCAGAAATTGGATCCGGTGGGAATCGAAACCACGAGTCGTTGTTGGCCGTTTGCTACCATTAGGTACAGCGATGAGTACGTCTTACTTGCTTCAGTCTCTCTTGATAGAACTGATAGTGAAAACTAAAATTGTATACACGGTCAAAAACATTTAATATAACAATTTATTTCAGGTATATATATGAAATTGTAGACAGAACAGTTATTGATATAATACTTAAAATATAGGCTGTAATTGATATCAATTTTGAATTATATTTGTACAAAAAAATGTGGTAAGTAATGTCATAATGAGACAAAATGTTCTAAGAGAAAACTCGATTTTAATTATTTTAACAAAACAACATAGAGAAGTCATTTAATACATGAATATTATTTATTATTACGTAAAACTATGAGTCATTGAAAGTGTGATGTCCCATTTCTTTTTCTGGAGCAGGGGGTAAAAATATTTCTGTGCCCGTTTCATTTATCGGCATTATTCACAGGCAAGTACTTGAACAGACTTCTGTGCCCTGCCCGACGGAAACTATTATTTCCTTGGGTTTCGAAACCAGAGCTGTAGGGATTAACGCAATGCTAGGCAACACTTTTACCACGTAGTTGGTAAGGCGATCAGTTGATCATTGATCGTTAATCATTAATGTAAAGGAAAAATGAAAACAAACATTAAAAAATAAATATTTATTTGCTTAAATTTACAGAAGAGTCATCATGTGTTAAGTGTTAGACAATTCTAATGACGCCAATATGATCTGAAGACTAATTAAGGTTGTTAGACAAGTTATAGTTATTGAACAAGGTAGTTCCCTTGCTAGTTCTTCAGCTTTTAGATCCCTGGGTTATTTCTGTTAATGTAAGTATACTTAATCATTCCAATGCCTGTTATTAGGTAACACCAGACAGTCCAATGTCAGAAAATAGGTAAGCACTCATGTCAGTGCTGTAATACGCTTCTAATTCCCACGCACTAACATAAACTTCTATAAGGCTTTCATTTCTACAATGTGCAAGGTTTTCTGTAACAAGATTACATCACAACCTTACTACAATCAGTTGTTTGAATAAAATACAATTGATATTAAATAAAAGGCAATACAGATTAAATATACATTTGCCAGATTTTTTTTATTAAAAGCTACTTGGTTTTGAAATTGTATTGGTTCTCCAAATATTTCCTTTAACATATACGTTATATAAAATTCTTGTTTGTTTGTTATACTGATCACAGTTTAAAACGCAGAAGGTAATATTGAAACACATTTTGATTTATTTTAACTTAGCATTTAAAACACTGAGTGCTTCAGATGCTTAGCAGTAGCCCTTTCCCCCATGACTATGCTTTTCTTAGTTTAAGTAGTATATTTTGCCTCCCCGTGACCACAGCTGCTATTTGTTAGCTTTGGCTAACAAAAAGTCAAGCTGAAGGTAAAAAAAAAATCAAATAGATTTAACTAATACAAACCGCGTTTTAAACCGTTAGTGTTTTATTTAAAATTATATTTTGCGTTTAAAACGGTTAAAAGGTCTTTATTTAAAAGATATAAGTTTCCACAAATACGCCGAGGCTTGAAAGGGGGTTCAAAAACAGAAAATCTTAATACCATTTACATGTGTATAGAATTTACACTTCTAATACTTGTTGACTGTGAATATTATTAATTTTTTCCTAAAATAGTGAAAAACCATGAAAACACTATTTCTACAACTGTAGCTATACATATATAGAACAGTAATTTGCTCCATAACTTTATAATTCACTTTTTTAAGGCCAATGCACTTTTATCTAAATTAAATCCCTTAATTGATCCTTCAATAAGCTAAATAAAATAAGTGTACCTGTAATTGTTTGCTTCAGCTTAATTTCTTTACACAAAGCATTATATATGTCATTCACTGCTGTGGAAATACGTTGAGCAGACCACGTAAATATTACTCCTATTGTTGTCTTTTCCAGTTGAGACAGAGCTTGCAACTGACTGTTAATTATGTGGACACCTGTAATTATATATATGCAATTTCTTAATCAATTATAGTACATGTGTTATTTTATACAGAACCATACTAATTCCTTTTTTATTGATGTGTAAAATAAGGGTATAGTATATTAGGTAAGTAACTTTTCAAAAATTTAATTTAAATCATTATTCTCTTTTCTACATACAACATATATTAAGATTGCACAGACACCAACAGGAACTGAGAAAATATTATTTAATTTTTTTGAATGTATATGTTTATAAAGCGAAGTATAACCATGCCCAGAAACTCCCAGATGTAGCTTTTATTTAATTCAATAAAAAACTTACTGTCTACAATATTTTGGAGTCCCTTTAAAGCTTCCAAAAGAAGATTCATTAACGGTTCCAACTGATGAGGGTAATAATCGTCAGTGCACTCATACAACTTTAAAGCTGATACACCCTTACAGGTTTTTGTGCCCTTTTCTTTCAATTTTTCCCAATCACATAACAAACTATGTAGATTGGTGACATGTGTAAAAACAGTTCTGGAAATACCAGGACAATCTTTATTAGGCGTTGTAATTTCTGTAAAAGATCATCATTATGTAGATATTTACAAAAACAATGGTAAAATATCATACATTCGGGTTTTACGAAAAATTTTACAAACCTTTAGGAGTAAAACTATATGTTTTGTCAGGTGTACATGTAGGTGTTTTTGACATTTTCTTAATTCCTCTAAAAAGTTATACTAATTAAAAGACTCGCAATATTGTATTAAAGATATAAAGAACACAGTACCTTAACCATGTCTACAACTTATTATTATTTTATTTTCGATTATTTAAGCACTATGATTTCAAGTTATCGATGACAATTTGCAAATATAGATAATAGATTATTAAAAGTATGTCAACTCCATTGTATTTTGAGCTCAGATAGTCTGTGTAGGCACATTGTAAACAACTGTCTACTGTCATTGAATAATTGACAATATACTAGCAGGATGCTTTGAAAATTGAAATATTTTTGTAAACAGAATATTATTTGAGTTTCAGTAGTAATTAACTTAAAATGTATTGGATGGAATAAGGATACAATTTCACCTTATATATCAACGTTCGAAATTAAGTCCAACTATTTCTCCTCTGTAATCAATAATTCTCTTTAGGTGTTAACAGTTAAGTAGGTTATTACTATTCTACAAAAGTGACGCCAAGAAATGTCTGGTCCAATACAGGACGTAATTGAAGAAGACGCAGCAGATTTACAGTTTCCTAAAGGTCTGTTTGATTATTTAGTAAACGGTACCGTATATGGTCAATACTAAAGTTGAAGTGAAGTAACTTTCATTGCAATTTGCAGAATTTGAAAACGCAGAAACTCTTCTCATATCTGAAGTGGACATGCTATTAGAACGTAGAAAATCAGAGAACGAGTCAGCAGAGGAGGAACAGGAATTCTCAGATGTTTTCATGAAGACTCTTACATATACAAATATGTTCAAAAAGTTCAAAAATCAAGAAACTATTACTGCTGTTAGGAAGTAAGCATTTAAGATATTTTAGGATTTTCCACAGTTATAATTAAATATTTGCAAACCATAATATAACTTTTTGCTTCGGACTTATTTCTCTATTGCTTTGACATATTTTGATTGTGATATTTATTACTTAAAATATTAAATATTTGTTTTAGCTTATTGCAGTCTAAAAAACTTCACAAATTTGAAGTAGCCAGCTTAGCAAATTTATGTCCAGAGACACCTGAAGAAGCAAAAGCACTTATACCATCTCTAGAAGGCCGATTTGAGGATGAAGAACTTAGAATATTACTTGACGATATACAGACTAAACGTAGTATACAATATTAAATAATTGAGTACTCAACATCAGGCATTTTCCTTACATTCCTTGTACTGTTCTAAATAACTAACAAAATGGGCATTACTTTATTAGACTAAATAAAAAAATCTGCTATTGAAATTTCTCGTCTTTTTTATTATAAGCTTTTGCTATAACGCAATATACAAGAAAAATCCAATATTTGCAAATTGAAAATACAAATATTGCACATTTGTTTAAAAAAATATTATCTGTGATAATGACGTCTTTCTTTTCTTTATCTATATTTTCTTGCAATAGAAGTAAGATTAAAATTTTATCTTTTTTCTATCCACGGACTATGATACTATCACCCATAAACAATCTGACATGGCGGTGTAATCAGCTGATAATTGCAATGCCAACGAGCAGTTTTTAATTGATTCCTTTGTATTTTAAACTAATATTTTCTCGTTAAATTTTATTTGGATTATTGTTTCATGTGAATAGGAACAGTATTTTCCTATTACATTTAAGAAAATAGAATGGCGCGATGTTCCTTGTCATCTGTCAATTTAATTCATTCATCCATTGTAGTGCAGAAAAAAAATGTGACTTGTTTGATTTAATTTCTGTTTCACCTTATAAGTGCTAGATGAAGATTAATTACTTTAAACATTTGTTTCTTTATATTTTCACGAACTTCTCCGTATATTCATATACCATAACAAACATTGAGAACAACACGAATCGTCGTCGTTTTCACGGCCTAACAAGTAACAAGTTCTTACAAAGAAGCCGTGCGGCGTCGGCAGTCGGCGGTCTATGTTATTTTGTTTGACATTGAAGTGGTGGTTGCGTTTAAATGTTATACTCGATGCGGAAATAGTTTTAGCAGTCATTAAATTAGTCCGAAACGTAAAAATGTCGGGACGCGTACGAAAACAATCGGATTGCCCTGTGGGCAAGCAGGGTCCAATGAGAGCGACCTTGCCGGTGTCCTCGATCATGAAGTCGAGTGGTGGATTTAAAAAGAACGCAGGAAACAGCCCCACTCTCTCACCCACCAATGCGTGGCGGCGGATTTCGCCGGACCACGCTCTTTCCGGTCAGAGAAGCCCAGGAGCTGTCAATTACAAAGGTAGACTACCTCCATGTTACTATACAGAAATACCCCCCTTTTTCAATATTATTCTAACTAAAGTAGCCATATTACTTTGTCACATGGGCAGTGCTTTTGTTCATGCTTTAATACTTTACATTTGAAATAATGGATTTAAATTTAGGTAATTAAAAAGTGAATTATTTGTAATTTAACTCAAAGTAATTTAGAGATGTTAAGTAGTAGTTGAAGGATATAATTGTAATGTAGTTGAAATATTTATTTTAGGAAAAGGGAGGTTTGGATCCAGTGTAATTAGGCGCACAGCATCATTAGACACTTTGTATCAAAAAGGACAATGGTCCAGGGACTACTACCTCCATGCTGGCCAGCTGCAAGTTGATAAATCGACTCAAGTGAGTTATTTATTTTAATACATGTAGAATCTTTGTAAATAAAATGAAACTGTCTGAGTAGGACACAAAAATGAAACGGCCAAAACATATGATTTAAGCGTTTTATTGTTATGATTTAAAACAAAATGTTTTTGACTTGTAAACTGTTATTTGTAGTCTATTAATTTATTAGTAATGATGAATAATGTAATAGTATAATATACATAATAGCTTCTTTTGTTTATTATATGTTTTTAAATGTACCTTTGGAATTTCTATAACATATGTGATATTAACAATGATTGCATTGAATATTTCTAGACGGATGATGGAGGTGGAGTGTCTGGGAGGTCCTCAAGAGGCTCAGAAGACGATAAGCTAGATCGTTTTCTCCGGAGTCGCCTTCAAAGACCTCATAAGCCCTCTGGTTCAGGAGATTACTCTTCACATTCTATGAGTCCAGGGCTTTGTAAGTACTGAGCTTAAATTTATCAAAGAATTCATTAAACTTTATATACATTAATAATTGATATAGGAAACTTGTTTTGTCCTTGTATCTTTCTATGTTATTTATGTGTAAAGGAAACTGTTTCAACATATTCTTTTGTTTCTTCAGGGTCCCGTTTCAGTGGTGGTGGTGTTCCGTTAAGGGCAGCTCGTTCTTCGGTTGAAGGTCTGAATCAGGAGATTGAAAGACTTGTGCTATGCCCTGCTAGTGGAACACAAACTCCACACCTGGATCGACTTAGAGATAAGGTGATTATTTAGATTTTGGGTGTATTTTGTTTTCTCTGTTTACTTTGGATTTAAAACTAATTTATTTTCCTCATCATCTAAATATTATAACGTTATTTCTATGCATGTGTAACTTAACTTGTTGTTTATTTAGTCTTGAAATATGAATTAAACAGTTCACATAGAAGGAAGGGGAAAGCCTTTTGCCACCAATGTTAATTATTGTCACTTTTTATGTTTGTGTGGTCTATACTATTACAATATCAAAAAAAATTCAGGTCACCCCTGAAGGACATCGGGCCCCCCCTTGCTGAGCTTCTGAGACGGTCTGTCAACACACAAACGCCGCATGATCTCTGTCATACTGCACACTCTTCAGGTAACTGTTTTTGTGAAATATCTTTACTATTAAGAATGGAAAAATTTTGCGTTATATATCCAGATGACACTCACTGAAACCGAATAAAATTTTTCAATATTTTAAAAAAGGTTTTCGTCTCGGATTTTGTCTCAAACTTAAGAATTAGTATTAACAAGAAAGGACCGGCTCATTTTAATCGTATTATTCAACTTAAATGCCATGTGTAATTTTTTTTTTGACAGGGTTAATAATATAAAGTAGCTAGTTTGATGTGATATAGTTTAGATGAACTATAATAATTACCTATTGTGGGTTTAATAGATGTTATTGATATAATAAGCAGATGATTTCTATATTTTCAAGGTTATTGTGTAATATATGAATGTTGAAGTAAATTGGTTAAGTAAACAAAGTCTACATTGATGTAGATCCACCATCCCGAGGGTCACTGTCGAGTGCAGGCTCAGCCGAGCTCCTTGCTGCAGGTCTTTTAAAATTTTTCAATCCAAACCCATTTTGTGACAAGAACTCACATTTTGCGACTAATATCATGTTTCAACACATTTATTAATGAGGTTTACACATTCACGTGAACTAAACCACATTTCATTTGATACTGAAATATTTCATACATTGAGGCATTGAGGCTTTAATAAATGCTAACAAGAAATGCTTTCATCCGTCGCATAGTGTGCTGTCACAAATGTAGATTTCGGTACTAGGTAATCCCTTGCTACTTCCGAACTGCACAACATTGACTTGGCATGTCCTAGAGATACTTTTGTTATGCAAGCTTTTGTTTACCGCACTTTATGATTTATGTAGGCCTTTTTTTAGTTTGTTAGGTGTTAACGTGTTGTGGTGTCACAGTGTGATGTTGCTAATTCCAGGTGGCAGTGTCTGCTCGTCACCGGATCTCGATGGTTCTAAACTTGGTACGTCGCCGCAGATCAATCGGTTTTTGGCTCGCGAACCACCAGATGGTTGTGAAAAGGTATACCTAGTGAGCGCATATTTGTTATCAACAAACAAAATAATGGTTTGAATTAAGTTAGAATATGATTTTGGGGACACAAACAGTAGTATCACAATTTAAAATTTGACAAATAGTATAACAAAGGGGCATTTGATATCAAGATGTGAGAACAACCCAAAACTAGTTTTCAGTCGCACTTCTATTACGGCTTACTGATCTCCAATATTTGTTGATCTTTTACTAGTAAAAATAAATAATATCTGTTTCAAGGTGAACTTGAAAGCCGGTGAAGGATCGTACACCGAATCAGTGTCGGTGATGAAGCCCTCCGCGCCAGGGTTCACTTTGCGACCCTCGCTCGGCTCCGCCTTCCAGCCGCTCCAACCGCAGTCTTCGCCCCCAAACACCCCGCAATGACTCGTCCCACTAACCACAGGAACTAACTCATCACCAGGCCTCGGTAACCGGTTAATATATACCGGTTATTTAACGTCAATTCAATTTGCAACCGTTTAAAATCTGGTCTAATAACGACTCAAAAGTAATCTTATAATTTGAACGACATTACTGCAAAGTGTAGTTAATGTTGTAGTCACGCGTTGTCGTATAATGGTTGTTTAACTTTTAATTGGTTATTTCCGCTTCCGGTAGAATTGACGCGGTATATGACCCGGCGGAGGCGCAGCGAATTTATACACGGTTTTCAAAACCGGTATGACTTGCTAAGGTTTTACCTTGTTTATATCCGCCCTCACTCAGCTTATTTTATTGGCAAGTGACGAGTAAATATTCAATTTCAAATTTCGCTATATTTTTAACAGGTGTTGAATCTTGCAGCCAAAAAGTACAAAACAAATTTTCATTATTCAAATTTCGATTTTTTGCTTCGTGCCGTTGAACCAAACCAACAGAACGGAATGTTGTCGACGTGGGTTTGAGTCCCGCATGTGTCATTAATTTTTTCCATCTGAATATATTAACCGATTTTTCCTAATACTTGCCAGTAGAACAGTATATGCTGAGTGAAGATGCGGTCTTGCGTTAAAACTTGTAAGCTTAATTAAGTTTATTTTAAAAAATGCACGGATTTTAGGTTTTAGGCGCTATAGCGCCAGTCAAAATATTAACAAAATTTAATTAATAACTTTAACAAACTTTCGAAAACATTAAAAAAAGCCTACGTATACGTTATGAACGAACTTACAACCAACGGTAAAAATGATAGATTTTGTTATACACAAAGTGACAATAGCAGAAGCAGCTCACACAAACGAAACTCATTAATATTCTTACTATATACATTTGCACAAGACGAACAGGCATTTCTTTAAAAGGAAGTGACAATAATTCTCTTAAGCTATCAAAACATTTGGGGAATGTATATTGAACGTAACGAATGAAATGTATATATTTTGTCAATTGCACTCGCTAATTGAGATTTAATTTTGTTTTGTAGAATGAATTAGGGTGTACATATAACCGTATTTTCTGTGTAAAGGAATCCCTTATCTAAATTATGTCACACGATTTTATGATTGCTTAACCCCTCCAACTCTGTTATAGCTGGTAAAGTTCGTGTCCCCAATCTCCCCTTGAAAGTATTATAATGCATTCATTTCCCTGCTCAGGTCTCTTCTAGATGGTTTTAAGAGCACATGCCAGTCCTTCAGTCCGGCCATTACCCCTGAAACAGTGGTGATAACTGGGACCGAAGGTTTTAACGTGTTTTACGAAACATGGAGTCGATAGCTCTGGGCAAAATTAAAAAAAAAACATCGATTAAAAAATGGTTTGGATTATCTTTCACATGTCACGGTGACATTAATTATATAAAAAAAAAAACTTTTTAGATTCAAAAATTTCGGGCGCGACTTAAACTTGCATTTATATCCGGGCTGCTTCTCCTACCCATTGAACTACCGCGATGCGATCGTAGTTACTATACAATTACCTATTTTATACATAGGTAAGTATCTATGTATAAAATAAGCGATTTTTTCCGTCACATTCCGTCAGTCCCCTGCCTCCCCCGCAATGTGTGATGTAATTTATTGGGGGTTCCATAACGTGGCTGGTTGTTGATCTCAGTTTAAGTTATCATTGCGCGACTGCTTTTCATATTAATCAGGTATTTTTGTATGACCTAGGACCAAACGAGGCCAGGACGTGAACGAGCGGGACGGTTTTCTAATGAAAATAGCTTTAACATTTGGATTTGACAAGAAATGTGGTTACGATAGACTGATTTTTTAAATCTTTACTCATACTTTGGTACAGGTGTCTTGACAAGAAAGTTTACGATAAATATAAGCTGCATCGCTATTAGTACCTAGACTATTATTCACACATTTAACAATAAAATTACCGTTTTAACTAAGGCTACGATATTACGAGGTTTGGAAACCACGTTAGACGCTTTTGCAACCAGTTTCATTTACGACGACCGCTTCAAATACTGTTTAGGGGTTAGGTTTAATGTACCATATACGTGTAGGACGAATCTGAGGCCATAACCAATTTAACAAAAAAGGGATAATGGAGCTCGGAAAGAGAAAAAAATTACACATTAATATTTTTCACAATTGCTAATGGCATTAATAAATTAAAAATCAATTTAAATTTTTCGACACGGGCAGGACTTGAACGGACATCTACAGCGTTTCGTGCTGTTGCTCTAACCAACTGAACTACCGTCTCCTACACGTCATCGTCGAATTTTTTCAACCTATTGACACATATAAATTCTACGATAACGTGGAGAAACCCGAAAGCTCAATCGGTTAGAGCCACAAAACGCAACGCTGTGATACCGGTTCAAGTTCTGGCCTGTGTGAGAAAAAATTGATTGACTCCATACGTCATCGCTTGACCCATAATATGATGTCATACTGTCTTCTCGAACTTCGTTATCGTTTGGTAATCTTTAACTGGATGGAGGGTAGTTGTCAAGAATCTGTATTGAGTATGTCGGCTGAGACACGGTATTTGCTTTTATATCATTGGGATAGGGGAGAAAGGACCACGCCAATGGATCTCTCACTTGGCCAAAAGCATTTTATCATCGAGACTGATTATTAGAGCGTCGAAAACATAGTTAGATCTGTTCTATTATTTTGTAATGTATTATAAACGACGGCAAATATATATTTTGGACGGCTCACCTTTGGAATAGAGTAACTGTAATCTGTATTGCTCAATCGAAATTTTTATTAAGAGCCCACACTGACGTGCCGAATTGGGGGTGTACATTGTGATTCGAGTTGCGTATGTATATAATTATTAACATATATGTATAACAAATGAATGTGATATGTAAGTGGATATAGACTGCTTGACGACTCGGATGCTGGGATGGGTGGGCGGCGACCATAGGGCGACCACACATGCGTTATGTCACACGAACTTCTCGAACCTGACCCTCCCTTGTTTTACCCTCTCCTTAGTGGGACGTCACATTTTACATGTAGACCCCCCCCCCTCCTTTTATCAACTACCCTCCCTCCTGAACGTGTGACGTAATAAATGGATGGTCCCGAAGTTGTGAAGTGTTATGACGGTGCTGTGCAGTGATTACACTGGTAGGAGGTAGCTGGCTTGTGACAGGAGTGTTCCGCACTGAACGATCACCGGGATTTTCTAAAGATTAAAACATTCGTTATGTACAAATGTGATCTTGCGTGATATTCGATTGACATCACGATCGCAGAATTAGTTCGTAACTTATAGTTAAGCGCCGCGCGAAAATGGGAAACATTACATTGTGGAATAAAACCGAGCCAGTATTTAAAATCCGGATTTCTGTGTAGATTCTCTCGTTAGTGCAATATCTAGCTGTATCGTTGGAAACTAGCCGTATGATTACTTCGGGCCACAAACGCCCATTTTGTTTACTCCTCTTAACACTAAGTTGCATTTACATCGAATGTACATTGTAATTATTGTGAGCTTGATCGATGCAATCGCTTCCTGTTCGCTTCCGTGACGTAATAGACACCCCGTAAGGCTGCGGTCTCCTATAGAAGCGGCCACTACTACTTAAAAGTACCGTTGTCTCCAAGCATTTAAAGTCTTGCACTGGGTCTTTGTATTATTAATTATTGGTGGCGCCATCTCTCGCGCATAACTTGGACTATCCAATACGATCTTTAGCGATTTTGATGCGGCGTTACGCGTTACGAAGTACGCAGCGCGCTGTGTTTAAAGGAGACCGCAGTCTAATAGAAACCGATGCTTTATTAACATATGCTTAGATAATGTCACAGGTCCAGGTTGTAATTTAGAGTTATATCTGCGAATGACGTTACCTAATCTAAGGTTTAGTAAGATTTAGGTGACCCGATAAAGTTAGCTTCTAATAAACGTGTGCTATAAATATGGTCCCTTACTTATTTTATGTAAACCACTACGGACTCCGCGCAAAGGTGCCGACGAGGGACGTCGGTGCAACTTTACGCGTATCCGACCTTTTTTAAAGTACATAAAGATATTTTTGTATGTTCAGGGTAGGAGTGCGAGATGTACCATAAAATAACTTTGCTAGAATCTTAGATTTGATAGTTCTTTTATAGAAGGTTAATTATTTTAATGTTTGCTTTTAGGTGATTGATAAGTTTGTAATTTTTATTACTATGATATTAGATTAAATACTAACGTTTAAACTAAACCAAAAGTGCCCATTGATATAAGTTTACATTTTGAGCAGGCCTTTTGTTCGGCATTTTGTTATTGAATAATGTTTAGGCGTCAAAATTAGTGATAAGAAAATTATCGACGGATTGTTGAGTTTTAGTTATCGAGTTGTTGAGGTTTATTGATAAAAAAAATCGATTTAATTTTTTTACTCGCGGTGCTCGACAAAAGGCTTGCTTTTAGAGGCATTGATTAACATCAATAATAATAGTATCGATTTTAAGTAATAATAAGAATGGTTTTATTATAGTTTTGTTTCAGAGAAGAAATTCTAATTACTATTTTTGTTTCCAATATTTTATCACTTTACCTGTTTTCATTGTATTGTATCTTGCTGTATTGCAGACATATCCAATATACAGACTGATTTAATATTTGTATTTTATTTTTACCCCCCCACTTTTCTCTAGAAATTGTTGTCAATTAATTTCCATTGGTAAAATGAAAATCAGTTTTCAGAAAGGTGTCTTTTATTTTCAAATATCCACGTAATACGATACACTTTCCGTGCCACACTTGTGGTAGAAGAATAAAAAATAAAAGATACTATAATTGAATTATGAAATGCATCGGCAAAAAAAATAAGAACAACAGCAATAAAATCACAAATGTACAAGAAATACAAATTCTCCTATGGTAAAGTAGTACTAACAATTCGCACGAAATTATTTAATTACGATCGATGTACATATTAATCGGATATCTGGAATTGAGCAAGTAAATACATACACAAAGTATAGACACTAAATATTACAAATCTTTAGTCCATTTCTACCAAGATTTCATAGTCAAATACTTCAATACAGTTGAAATACACAGGACGAATATGTAACACGATGAATGATCATGTGATAGGAGCCCACGAACAAATAAAAAATCATTAAGTAACCGACTATATTGAGGCTGCTAAAGGCAGAGTGGGCTAATAACAAAAAAACATGAAAATAAAATGAGCAAAACTTAGGCAAAAATTATTTTTTATTATTATTTGTAAAATTATCATTTTTAGACTATGAAAATATAAATAACTCAAGGCATAAAATTGCATTAAGACTACTCTGCTTCTAGACCTCACTTATAAATATTCTAATCTAAAGAAACTAAGAGAAAAAACTGACAAGAAATTCCTCCCCACTCTTAACACCGGGTTTTCTTTGGGCAAAAGTTTCACATTTCATACACTGGAGTTCAACGAATTGATTTTATAACATCTCTTTTAGGAGTTTAAAATCGAAGTAGGACGTACATAGTTTCATCGCCTTTTCTTCGTCGCACACAATGAGTGCAAAAGAGACAAATTGCTCTTTAAAACTACTGGTACAGAACTCTTTGAAGTCTTCTTTTGTCGTAGACTACTATCGCATAACACATCTCTTGTGGATGAAACATTGAATATCCTAAATACTAAAACGCATACAATGTACCAAAACACAACATCCCTCCCTGTTTTAATTCCAAAACGCACGTTTCAATACAAAATTGCACTATTCCACTTATACTTTGTCTAATATAGGATGATAGTTTTGGCAAATTCACGCAATTCGAGTATGATATAAATTTAGGAACGTGCCTTCCTAAAACATTTTATTATTGACATTAACGATCAATTCTAAGTTTTTAATTTTGATCCAAGAAAAACTGACAAATGCATACTGTGAGCTGTCAAAATTATCATGTTATGTTAGGCTAAGTATATCATTTTTGTGAGCCTTCACAAAGCTCTCATTTAATCTTTCCTCTTCCGCAACACGTTGCAAGTCGTACTACAAAAAACAGGACACACAGCCTTTGTAAACTTCTTTATTAATACGGTACTAGTAAAACTAGAAATTTAGGAATGACTGTCTGTTGTCTGGCGTATTTTTCCTTTTTGCTCCGCGATCCATGCGTGTATCCGCTGCTTTAGTTCTGTGTCAGACTTCACTTGGTCCATGGACAACGGTGAACGATTGAACGGGTCTGATTGGTCACTGAGGAGATGCCTAAAACAGAAGACATTTAATTATATACGATACTATTGATTTTACAATAATCGTAAATAACAATTTATTTATCATTATTTTGAAAGACATAGTCAGATCTAAATAACATTCTGTCTTTATTTACACTAAATTAATGTATTTAAAGATTAAGTCCTTGGAGCCGGCTTCGGAAATATAATAAAAAGATAACAATGTCTTATAAAGCCGACTTGCCTACACCATTTATTGAGTAAAAAATAAGCCTTAAGAGTCTGACAGCCTTCGAACGAAAGTATTTATTATATTTTTATTTTGAACCCAGTTAATCGTATATACATATATATTATACCTGGCAATTGTGGTTCTATCAACGGTAGTCCGCGAACTGGGAAGAATAACAGGATCCAGCATAAGCGTGCTCATTATGGGGTCGAGGAACTCTTCTGGCGCATTCGCCAAAATCTCTTCGTCACGCCTCCTTTGTGCGGCTATCGTGCTGACTCGTGAGGCCACTTCTTGCAGCGATGTTATAAGGCCACCGCCACCAATACGTACTGAAATATTGAATACAATGACTAACAAATATGTAATAGAAGTCTAAAACAATACTACACTAAAAAATACTAAAGATTAGAACTTCCGAGTTCACAGTTCACAATCCATATAGTATATGCCTGTGTCAAGAGTGGTTTTAAGCAAATTTTACGCATTCCCCGTGACCACGGCTGCTGCAAAGCATCCAAAACGTCGTGTCGTAGTTAAAATAATTTCTAAATAAGTTTAACTAATATAATACTTTAAAAAAAAGAATTAAACATTGAGCGAAATTAAAAATTGTGTTCATCGCAATAATATAATTCTACCTTAGAGAGGATAGAAAGAGATAGATTTTTTAGCACATAGTGTGAATTACCAGATTTTTTTTTTTAAAAAAAAAAAGGCTTTACAATAAATTTTTTTTTCCACAAATAAACTCAAATAACGGTCAAATATCGTAGAGCTTGCCTTCTAGAAACACGATGTTTGACTCTCACCTAACACAGCTTCAGCCAGCGTGAACAACTGAGGAGAATAGGACCGACCGTCATCAGAGACCGCTGCGCAGAACCTCTCGTTGTTACCAAGTTCCACATACATACGACAGATATCGAGGACAGTGCTCGCTGGGTCGAACTGGAATTCCTTCATGTCTTTCACCTGTAAAAGTTAAGAAGAAAAAAATTTTATAAAAAAAATATACGTTGTACTGCATATCTGTCTTTCGGGCTTTTCGGCCGACGTGAGCGAGAAGAAGTTCTCGACGTTTCGCCATCACGTATGGACGGCATCATCAGAGATGTTAACCCCTCGATTGCTGACTAATTCTTCGAGCAATCGAGGGGTTAACATCTCCTGATATGATGATAAATGATATGCTGAACGATGGCCGTGAAAGCCTTTACACAATTTATAAAACATTGTACTGTTTTTTTATTAATTTTAAGTATATATTAATAAATATAAGGATCGCCTCTACTTTATAAGAAAGGGACGTGTATAGGAAAGGGCCGGTTTTATCTATCCCATACATACATTCAGACGGAACGCTATCCGTGGCCGTAGGCTCGAGATTATCCTGAGTATTTTTTAAAATATAGAATATCATTTTCAATAATAATGAGACAAGTTAGGGTTAGCTTCGACATAGCTTCACTCAATATTCACAAGGTACAAATACAGATGTAAAGATGAAACTTACTTGAAGATGTAATTGTTACAAATGTGGGTAACAAAAAAAAAACAAAACGAAGACACGAACCTTAAAGTTCTTTTTATTGGGCCCGACGAGGTGGAGTAAAAAATAGTTGAGCATGGACGCGACGCGCTCAACGAGCGTTGGGTGACAGAAAACGGTCGGCGCGTGCGCAGTCAATCTGACTAGGGTCCGTATGGTGTCTCGGCCGAGGATGTTATCGAAGCGAGCCAACATTCCAATGTGAGAGAGGTTCGATATGTTCTGTTCGCGTTCTTGAGCCGGAAGGTTGGCCCAGGCACCGGATTCTCTGTGATGATTAGAAAAAGGTTTATTATCCAAATAAAATATATCCGAAGCCAAAATAGGTCGATAACGCATTTTGTTGTGATGCTATAGCCTGGGGTATTCCATGTACTATCAAGTTAACTACATCCTTGCCTACCCTCCTCTATTGTAAAAAAAAATATTGTCACACCAATGACTAGAGCATAAATTCTACTTACTATTTTCAGCCGGTCTATGAAAACCAAACACGTTTTATAAACCTCTTCTTTTTCTTACTTTTGTTATTGCCTATCTATCCTACACATACACACCTATGTTCTTCTTATACATGATCATTTTAACGGTTTAGAACGCGAAATTTATTGAATTTGTTAAAATTTCGTTTAACTACGGCCTGAAGTCTCTGCTGATGCACGTTTTAAACTGTTCAAAGTGTTCTATTTAAATGTGTACTACTAGCGTAAACTATATAGCATTTAAGTTGTTAAAAAAACAGATTTTGATACAATTTTGTCCTGGCGTAATTTCTTACGCCGCTAGGAATTGAAAGGTGAGACTCATAAAGTTTTACATAGCAATAAATGTAACACATATACAAAATGCTATATCTAGTACAGCTACATAAACAATAAATAATTATAAGAGATATACAGTTTGCGATTATACTCACTGTGCCGTCTGCATTGTCCTTATCTGAGCCATGTTGCCCAGCGCTTCGTCCAGTAGAAATATGGCGTCGTTCATGAGGAGGTTGACGAAACGTAGAAAGAGAGGTGGATGTACTGCCTCCATGTTGGCTTCTGCCTCGTTAGCTAAGTGTCTGATGTAAAAAGAAAGTGTTATTGATAAAGCACACAGACAATGTTGGTGTTTCGTATCTATCCTTTATGTACATATGGTATTCCTGTATTCTCTATCTATATGAATGTGTCTACATGTTCATAACATTTAAATACTGTGTAGTCTACGCGAGAAGTACACTTAACCGGTTTAAAACGCGATGTATATTAGTTCGACTTAGTTGGAAATTATTTTATCTGCTCGGAAGCACGTTTCCGATGCTTTGCAGCAACCGCGGTCACGGGGAGACAAAAATTTCCAAATAAGTTCAACTAATATACATCGCGTTTTAAACCGTTAAATTGTATAAGTACTTGTTCATACTATTTTGGCGGACTTGTTGGTGTACAGGGTCCAAAATATTTGTAATAAAATTATATTTTTTCTATATAATCTAATCTAATATTTAATAGGTGGTACAAAATTTCGAACCACCGTCCAAGAAAAGATATGAAGTGTAATCGCGTTGCACTTTCAGTCTGTGGACTCCGAATATACAAAGCCGAAATATGTCGGTAGCACATCGTTGAGCTGGTATATGGCCGGGATATTCACCAACATTATACCTTCCATCAAGTAAACACCGTTCCTCTGGCTTCGTCTGCGATGAACGCAGTACTCAATGTTTTTTATATTGTTGAATTTTATATAAATATGTAAAATATACATTTATTCCACATTATATCCCTGTTATAGCGCCGTGGTTTTGGATAAACTTCAACTTACATTCAGATATTCTGCGGGAGTTATTACGTTTGTAAGCTGAACGATTAACTTACGTAAACGCGTCCCGATGTTCCTGCATGCCCCACAAAAACTCCATAACGAGGTACATGGGTCGTCTGTAGTTGAACTTTTGCTCGAATTGCACGCTCTGACCCGTCATCTCGATGCCCACGAACACGTCGAGCAAACATGGCACCAACTACAAAAAGGTGGAATAAAATGGTTAAGTTTTTGAAAACTGTAGTTTTTTAAGGAAAATAATAATTATGGCCTTAAGTTTATGAATAAAGAGTTTGCCTCAATCAAGCAATCTCTTTATTCATAACATCTTACTTATTTTGTTAACACATTTCTTTTTTCCTTAAAAAATATTCAAATCGACTCTAAATACATATATGGAATCGACATGTCTTCGCTACATCTATACTAATGTTAAAAAGCTAGAGATGTTGTTTTTGAACGCGCTAATGTCAGGGCACAAAGTTTAGGCTGTATTTGTGTATTATGTATGTAATATCACACTGCGACCAAAATCGAATCTTTAAGAAAATATGTTTGATAGAATGATTCCACCTTAAGTGATATAAAAAAATGTCCGCGATAGTATATGTTTATTTTGTAAGATTAACTTGCAAAAACGTCGGAAAAATCAATAATATCATGTCCAAAATAATTATTTCACGCGGGCGAGGTCGCAGGCCCAGCTGTAACGTACTTGTAATCTATGTGGATGTTCTTTGAACAATTGTTCTCTGTAGAAAGATGCGATGTTGCTCAAAGGCTGCTGTTCGTCTGGGTGGTTTGGCAACATCGCTTCCAGACATTCGGCTAAGCGCGCTCTGTAATATTCAAGAACATATTAACAATAGACAAATTAACAACGATAAAAAAAGGACACTTTAACATGGATGCATTAAAACTTTAACGGTGGACATGGGAAATTACTATGTCCACCGTCTCCCCATGACCACGGCTGCTGCAAAGCATCCGAAACGTCGGGCCGAAGTTAAAAATCATTTTTAAATAAGTTTACCTAATATATCGCGTTTTAAACCGTTAAAGTGTTTTATTTAAACCTTTAATAAGTTACCTCTTTAGTCGCCATGCTGCGAAGTATAAGATCGGTACATTTTAAATTACACGACAAATATGATTAAACATAGTAATCTACTTGGCCGCTAAACAAGACAAATATTTTCATACAACTATTGCCGGCCGCTTCTTGATCAGTACATAAAGTTCGAGTTATTTCCAAGAGCATTGTCAAAATAATAATTTACAAGCATGTTTGAGAAAAAATATATACCTCAAGTGTGGATTGTAGGTCCTCGCAGAATCTCCCATAAAAGCAAGAACTAGAGTCAAGGCGGGCTGCAACAGCCCAGCCAAGTCGGCCTCTTCAGTGATAGCACCTACGGTACGTCGTGCCATAGTTATGAGTACGACTATGTTCTCTAGTACAAATTCTGGAATGCATCTTGAAAAAAAAAACAAAAATAATACGTTAGTCACCGTTATTATGTTAAAAGCGATGCTTTGCACTAAGTTAGGCTACAACGGCTTCGAACTTCGAAAAATCTAGTTTGCTAGCATTTGGACTTCACTCTTCTCAATTTATCAGTAAGAACCATAAATTATCATTATATATATCTTAATTAGACATATATTCATTGCATTAATGTATGTATAACATTTAAATTCAATAATCTTACACTTAACGCACAATACGATTAATTATATATTAATAATAATAACTTAAATACAGAAAGGAAAGAAAAAGAAGAATAGAAGTAAAGTAAGGCGAGAAGAAATTAAAAGGCGATGTATTCTATGGTTTAGTAGTAGCAGTAAATTAATTAATAAGTTAACTCTGCGTAGGATAACTTCCAAAAAGCTTTGTAGGACACATCTAAATCAAAAATCAACTTTTAATTAATACCTTACATAAAAATCAGTTTTCTCATCTTAATTAGGCGCAATTAAAAAAATACATTATTAAAAACTTATTACCTTAACGTATCTGGCGGTGGGGTGGTGATGGGCATAGTGACCGGCATCAAATTTCCCGGGGCGTAGCACGAGAGCCCTTCGCAGCTCTCCCTTATAGCGACCTGCACCAGCCAAGTGCACGTAGTCGCTTGGAGCCGGTGCAAATTCGTCAGCATTTCATTCTCTAATAGCGCGCAGCGGAGGCTCACAAATCTAAAGAATAATGGTTTATTATATATCTGTAATAAAATATAAAACTGAAGAGTTTATTTAAACGCGCTCAGTTCAGGAACTACTTGGTTCAGATCGAAAAAATCTTTTTGTGTTAGAACATTTATCGAGGAAGGCTGTTGTCTATAACATCGAGCTGTGACTAATAGGAACGAAGCGGGAAATAAAAATAAGAACGGTGAAAATTTTCTTTCTCTTTATAGTTTTCCGATGCGTACACTGCGAAAACATTGCGTTTTAAGATATCAAAAAAGTATGTATACATGAATGATTCCTTTAAAATGACTGCGATAGTATGTCTATCTTTTAAGATTAACGTCGGCCCGTTCTAGCAAGTTTATTTAACACATTTCTGTGTCCGTTTTACTCATCGGTTCATAAATAATAAGGCGTTATGTTTATAGTTGAATATATCTATTATGGTAATGTTTACTTCAACCTACTCTACATATTACTACATATCGTGTTTACCTAGTCATAAGGTGCTGTGTTCGTTGTCTCATCGGTTCCAATAAATGGTGTGCGCTAGCAGCAACATCGGCTAAAGCCCGCTGAGCTCTACCCAGGTCTTGACCACAGCGATACAGTTTCTCAGCACAAACACGTACACCTAAAAATAAGTTGAGCGTTGAAAATTTCATCAAAAACAATCTAGCCATTCGGTAGTTGAAACACTGTCACACTAGAAAATTTTTGAGGCTGCTAGAGGCAGAGTGGCCTAATAACAAAAAACATGATTTTCAATAAGGAGGATAATAAAAATGGGCAATTAACTTAGGCGGAAATGAATTTGTACTATTATTTGTGTAAGAATTATGTTAACAATTTTCGCTCACTGTGCCAACTCTTTTGGATTAACATTTTTAGGACTAAACAAAATATAAAAAACTCAAGTCATAAAATTGCATTTAGGCTACTCTGCCCCTAGCAGCCTTAATTCAACTTGGATCTCATTACTCTATTTAATATTAGGACTTACCCAAATCAATACACTTTTGCGTCATATAAAAACACTCTGTGACAAAATTGTAAGTTTCAGCTGTGGGTCTTTTCACTGTTTGTCCATCTTCTGTCTCCCGGGCAGGAAGAAGACAAGTCTCATTGTGAAGGCAGTCCAAATGTACAGATTTAGCTGCACACTCTTCTGGCTAGAATGGGAATTGACTTACTTTTGAAGGATAAATGTAATGAAAAGTATATTACTATAATTGCATTGTGTTAAGAGTGAGAGGTCCTGGATTCGAATCCCGAGGAGACAATACATTGTTTCGGCCGGTAGTGCACAGAACCCAACGTTCCCACTTTCCCCACAGGAGAAAATGGGAATTTCACTTTTTTATAACATCATAATTTGTAATATTTGAGAATGTTTTATATACTTTTTGTTTCATTAAGTTTATAATATATAGGAAGGATTTTCATCCACTACTAAGTTTTATAATTGCGTGCGCGCTTTAAATCTTTTTATTCATAGTCCTCACCGGTACAGCGCCATACGTTGGGTCGATTTTCAACGATTTAGGATCATTCGCTGTTTTGCAGAATGGCTGACAGAGTTGCAATAGAACCGCCCCCAAATTCAGCATGAAACCATCGGATACGCACTGTAGTGACGCAGCACTTATATCGCCAGCCTATAAAAATAATAGTTCAACAAAATCAAAACAATGATGATATTATGGCTAACTCTTTCTTCGAATACTGTCTGTATTTTACGCGAGTAGTACCTACACATTTAAATAAAAACTTTAACGGTCTAAAAGGCGATATGTATTAGTTAAACTTAATTGAAACTTATTTTTAACCACGGCCCGACGTTTCGGATGCTTTGCAGCAGCTGTGGTCGTTTTAAGCCGTCAAAAGTGTTTAATTTTAACGCTTTCTTTGGTTGATTCAATATGTTTATCTTTAAATAGAAAGGCAATTAATAGGTAAGCGTAATTCTAAGTCAATCTATGTGCTAACAAATTGTATTATAAAACCCTGACTATATATAAGTGTATAGTTTATATTTTTACAATTGAAACTAAATATGAATGCTAACAACAAAAACTGTGTAGCAGTTCAGGTGTAAGAGAATAACAAGAAATCATAGATTTGCATTTATTACTAATCATATAATTTTAAATGATGAGAACATACCTGAACACTCCAAAGCTTTCCCCTCGCAGCGTTAGACTTCAAACATAGACCAATCCATGTTAGAAGACGGTCCTTAATTTGTGGCCCACCCTTTAGTAGGGTTAGAAATATTTTGTGCAGATTGTTTATGAGGTGAGATGACGCATTCCAAACTGATGTCTCCACCATCGATATGGCTGACTGAAAAACGGAGCAGAGATATTAAAAAACCATCGGGCAAGGAAACAGTTAGATCAACAACTTGTTTATAAATAAAACTGATAATTAAACATAGAGTAATTTGTCTCCCCATGTAGGACTAAAGATTATAGTTATTTTTTCTAACTTAGCATTTTCGGTAAATAAAGACACAATTAACTTTATTTACACTTAAAATATAAATTCTCTCAGGTAAATAATTTCATGTATAAGTAAGTGAGTAAGCCTTCTTTAATTTGACAATAGAGTAGTGTGGCAGTAAAAAAGAAATATTATACACAAAAAATTGCTTTCCTTGTGTAAATTCACAAGGATTTTCAGTAGATGTTGAGTGATGTGTTTGATGTGTTGATGTGTAAAAATAATGTTGAATATGTAAACTGTTTATTTGCATTTATACATGCTAGTTTCAGGTATAAATGTAGAGTAAATATAAGACCTAACATACAACTGAAGACTAAAATATCAATTGATAATTAAATTATGTACCTGGTCTGTGGGATTATCAAAAAATTCATGAGGTGCTGTGGACGTTCTAGGCAGAACGGATAAGCCCAGCAATGCTCCGATAATTGAGTCTTGATAATGTCTACCCAATGTTTTGTTTTTCGGCTCACAAGCTTCCATTAAGATTGGTGCTAGGTATGGGCTACCTGTTAGGGGCAAAATATATTTAATATTTTTTTAAAGAGACAGTTAAGTAAATTAAACAAATTTGATAAGGGCGACTGGGACTTGACATGGTTCGGGGTTGAGCTATGTATAATTTTAATAGCTAATATGTGAAAATACTAAAATTTCTAAAGTTATACATGCTATTCTATTGATCTATCGCCAACAATTATTTTCATTCTATAGACAAAATTATTTACATTTTATATTCTATACACAGACATATACAATTAACAAAAAAATAGACAAAAATATAAATCAAGAATAATCTTGCAAAATATTACTCTATATTATACTTACTGGCAAATATATCAATGGAGGGCAATATATAAATCGGAAGGTTTATTAAATTAGACTTATTGACATCTGTATGTATATTTCTTAAAACCGGAATCATTGTATCCCTCAATTGATTTTGTGATTCAGCGTCACCTGAAATAAAACATGTACAATTATCAAAAAGTATTCTTCCCTTTTCCTTTGTTAAGAGTTAGGAAAAGATTTATAAAAATACAATATATCAAAAACTATATGTATATTCACTAAGATATTGGGTTCACATGCATATTATAAATTTACAAGATAAAAAGTGATCTTTGTTCTTATTATAGATTTTTAATAAATATTTTAAAGAATGCCATTTAAGTTAACACTGTATCTTATCAGAATTAAAAGACCAGACCAAGACAACTTCTCACAAGCTCCTGCATTTATCATGTCATTATTGTTAAATCAATAAATGTATCTAAACAGAATATAATTTACTGACTGAATGTACCTTCTGCCATAAAAGCTTTCACCAAGTCCATAAAGAAAGTGTGACTCTGTGGATCCACATGTTGCAGAAGTTCAATTAGTTGACTGGAAAAATCTTGGCCTTCAAATAACGCTGGTTGCTTAAGGGCAGTCACAGCATTCCGAAATATTAGTTCTTTCATCTTTTTAATACCGTTAACAACAACTTCATCATTGACATAATCATAACTTTGAAGATTTTGCATAGAACTAAAGAGGTATGGAAAAACCAGTTTCTGTATAACATGCTCCTTGTAAGACCTAGTGGCTTTTGGTATAATGTTTTGTTCTATGTCTTGTAACAATAATCGTTCAAAGAGGGCTTGTTCCAAGGCCTCTAAATCAATGCGAAAACGAGGATTCATCGCTTGCGCAAGTTCTTCGAGGTACACAAGCTGTTTATCAGAGCTCTCATCAACAGCATTAATATTTATTGTGAAATGAAAAACATTTTCTACAATATTATTGATAGTTATGATACTCTCACTTTCAGAGTTATCTTTTGGAGTTGACTGTAAGGGCCCAGATGGAAAACCTACGTCGCTCGTAGCCTTAGCTTCATGACTACCAATTAGTCCAGCAAATGGATTGTTTTGATCAGACATTTTCTAGGTTTATTTGACAACAACCTCTTCTAAAACTTCTTTATTTACATGATACAAAAGTATCAATATTCATTTAAATTATTATCACGGTATTCACGTTTTATACAAATTTTGAAATGGTTAATCCGTAAATTTGTATTATTAGTAACCTTATAACAATTTAATATTCTTCGAAATATGCTGACTCTCACTGACTAAACGTTATCAATTATACCTAATCATTAATCAATTAATGGCAACAATAATGACATTTGGAAAAAGTAAACACAGATAAATTATTTCTTAAATCACAGATAAATCATTGACTCTGTAAGTCTCTTAATATTAATAGAAGTGGCAACTTGCATAAATAGCATTAAACCTTTGAAAAACTCTTAATTGACATTCACAAATAAATAAAAATAAAGACGATTCACTCATTGTTAAAAAAACTTTATTTAAATACATTATAAAAAAAATAAAACTATTACAAGATTTGTAGCAGTAACATTACGACCGTAAAATAGGAAAACTTTTAAAAAAGTATTTCTATTGACACTATTTTGTATTTTGGCAGCATTGAAAAGACACTACCGCTATCGCTGTACGTGGGTAAAAAGGGAACTAAATATTTACCGATTTTGCTTTTGTTTCGCTGCAGTCGACGCCCGAAGCTGAAATTGAGATCATTATTGCGTTGTCGATTTGTTTCGTCTTTATGCAGCAATGCTATGAGAGATCTATCTTTTTTACATGGCGTATAGTAGTCGCACATAGTGAATTGTTCATTAATGTAAGATTGGTAACACTTATAATTATTTACTTGCTAGGCCATTTTTCTACGAATGCGTGTCCCCAAATATTTTATCAATTAGTGCTTTATAAATTAATCAAATAGTCCCAAAATGTGAATTACTTTTACACTAAATTGTACTTTAACATAAAATTCGTAACATTACATAATTTAAACATAGCTTTCAAAATGGCGTACTTCCGTTCGCCTCAAGCTATATACAATTTCAATGTTAGATTTGATGCTACCTACGTAGTTTTTGTACAATGCATGCTCTTATTTTTATAAATTAGCATTGAGGTAATTTCTAATTTCTTGATTAATGGTTAATGGGCTTGTGGTGAAGGTTAAATTTCTATAAAGTATTTTTTATTAATAGTGAGTTCAATGTCAACGAAAATTGATAGATATTTGCTAGACTGCTTTGTGTATAATCCGACCTATTTTAAATGGAGGGTTTGTCAATTTTAGTGAGTACGCTATTAGTTTGTGTGTGTGAGCGTTGCACGATTCGTGACCTCGTTAAAGGAAGGACAGAGATATCTTGCCGTTCTAGAAGGCTGACGTCATCAATATAATAATAATTCGAACGCGCGGTGAGAGCTCAGCGCACACCGAGACATTGTGAAATGTGAACGGCCACTCACTGCTTGCAACTACTCGCTTCTAATTTACTTGATATTTGTGACTACAAACAGTTAGTCTACTGAGTCCTGCCATACATGTCGAATTATTAACTGCGCTAAAATTAAGTGACTCTTTGAAGAATTGTCCCAATGACCATTGTTTCGACGATTATTAGGTATAGTATTTAATGAGAATACGGGATTTAGGCCCGTCGATATGTCGAATAGCAATGTTATACATATTACATTTTAATTTTGTATACATTGCCAATTCGGTGCAGTGTACTTACTGTACCGTTTTTATGGTAAATTTGAAGAATTAACATATAATTAATGACTCAGTAAATGTGCATATTAGTGACATTTAGCAATGATGTGCCGTAATCTGATGTTTTTGTCGTGTCGCGGAACTAAAATATTGTAACTTTACAGTAGACCTTTCCATTATATCGTAAATAAATTGCCTGCCAAGGCCTACGTTTCATGAAAAACAACTAATTTTAGATGATGACGTCAGCTTCACTTGCGACTTTTTAACTTGTTCGGTTTATATCAAAATGGCGCTCACAACCACATACACGGCACAGTAGGTATAGTAGCCATGACTTATCTTTTTATAAAGGGGCCTTCATAAAAACCCGATAAATCTTAACACAAATACATATTAATGCGCAAAATAACTACGTATTAACATACATGGAGAAATAATAATAGGAGTCGAATATGTATTTATTAATTTAACTTTTTTTAGAAAGTATTGATCAACGTAATTTTATTCGTAAATTTAGCTATTAAAAATACTCGAAATTACCGAAAATGTCTGTCGACAATATTAATTATTTTTCGTTTATCTGTCGTCTATTTGTGGATAGTTGTAATTGATTTCCAATGATAAGGGAATAATTCGATCATTTCGATCCTATTAGTTTAATTGATATACAATTTACATCTTGTTATCTAAGTACCTACATAGGTCAACGGCAAAATGTTAAAGCCATTAATATTCGAGTTTACCTATATAAAGATAGGTAATTATCGAAAAATATTGTGGTCCAGGACTTTTCTATTTTAGATAATTATGGGTCGTATTTTAATTTATAACCTTGGCTAAGTAATCGCTGACTAAATAAGCTAAAATCGACTTTAAGCAACCTCGTTGGGATTTAATATTTGCTTGTTAATAATATAATAGTTGCCTTTGTTCTGATCAACAGTTCTTTATTAAAATCGATACTTTTAAAACGCTTTATAAAATATTATGTTTGCATATAAAATTCTAAAGACATGCATTACACAAAAGCTAGGTATAATCAATGAAAATCATTGACATTATTAATGAGTCCTGTTTGGACTAATGTAAAGTTACAGTTATAATTTCTCGTTATGATTGATTTGTAAATTTATTTTTGCCGTATAAAATATTTTCCTCCAGCGCTGTTCTGAATATGAAGTAATTATCAAAAATGTTTTTCGATTTCAGTGAGACGATCAAAATGGCTGATCCAGCGTCAAATACGGATTTGGAGGACGGAGAAATCGAGAGCGAAGGAGAGACAACTGAAAATGTAAATGAAGAAGAAAAGAAGGTTGACGCCGTTCCCACAAAAGAAGAGGAGGAAGCTAAAGACGACAATGATTCACAAAACTTTTATTATTCTAAATCAGGTAAGAAGAAAAAGTCGAAGTCTAGTAAGGGTGAACAAAAGTATAAAGAAAAAAGTAAAAAATCACGTAAAAACGTCAACCCAATGGAAGACGATTTTGCTGGAAATATTGAGAAAGCTATTCGAAAGGCGATGAATAAAAATGAAGAGAGCGATGGCCACGAAGATGACCTGGAGGAACGACGCAAGCACAAGAAACGAAAGAAATACGAAAACAAGGATGGGCCAAGTAAAAAACGTAAAAAGCAAGAGTATTCTGATGAAATGGACGAAAGTGAAATGATGTGCGTTCGTGGTGCATCACCAGTACACAAACAATCACAAGATGATGGTTTTCAGGAGGATGAGCAAGATTCCTATGAATCTGATAGTAGTCACGATTCCAGAGATCATCATCAGCGTAGGCACCGAAATCAGCAACGAGATAGAACAAAAAACAAAAATGAACGCAGGAGAGGAGGAGTTGGAGGAAACCATAATAACACACAGGAGTCCGATGGTGTATGCTCTTACTTTATGCAAGGAAAATGCCACAAAGGTGACGATTGTATTTATTCTCACGATGCTCAACCTCCTCGGAAAATGGAGCTCTGTAAGTTTTATTTGATGGACTGTTGTGCGAAAAGGGATAAATGTTTATATATGCATGCTGATTTTCCATGCAAATATTACCATACAGGTCTTCCGTGTCTATATAAAGACGACTGTAAATTTGCACATGGCAAACCATTAAACGATAATTTAAAAAGTATATTGCTTAAGCATATTGAATCGGCACCGAAAGAAATTTTGGGTGATTTCCCAAGATTAAATCGTGATGATGCAATGAAAATGATTCAAACGACACAGTTGAAACTTAAGCAACAGTATCCCGAAGATTCTGAGAGTCAAGATAAGACTATACCATCGCTATTTGAAATTAATATCCCTAACCCACAAAACAATCCCGACATCAACAATTGTATTAATAGTTTTAATAACGAGAGACCAAATAGAATATCACCGAAAGTTCGACAGTCGCGATGGCAAAACGATAATAATAGTAATCAAAATCTATCACCAAGTCATAACACTACCGTTTCTAGCGTCTTAAGTATAAAAAATTTAACTGGCGTCTTAACGCCTCGACAAATATCGGACCTCACAAAATTAGGCATTGACAATTTAGATCAGTTGGGACAACTTACAGTATTGCAGCTAAATAGTATCGGTATATCTCTAAAACAAATAACCGAAATACAACTTAACACGATGAGTATACAAAAACTTGGCCTCATTAATAATTCCGATCAACAGACACCGTTTCTCGGATCGAGTTCTAGTACTAAAGATTTAGATTTACGCGTACCGCCAATGATTCCTGTTTCAAATAGTACTTCTATTCCGACGATGCTGCCAGGGCAAGACGTCGATATGCGCTTTCAACCGTCTATCACTGCGAAAATGAACGAAGATTCAAATAGTACACTGAAAAAAGATCAGCCACCTAAAGATACGATCGACATTGATCAATATACTAAAGATGCATTAAAATTCGCCCTAAAAGATAAAGAGAATATTGACATGTCGAATGATACATATGAAGTCGAAAATCCGGTTACCTCAAACGAGACTAAAGACGTAGATCATAGAGTGCTTCCTTTTAGTGATGACAATTCGAAGTTAGTTATACATAATGTTGAGGAAAATCATGTTCGCAGGGAAGGTGACACGGACATTCGATTCCTGCAACCAGATCCCATATTTAAAAATCCAGCAAAACGAAATCGGCGTTCTACCACGGACGACGATGAAGATAACAACTTGCTGATCGATGAGAAGTGGTATTCGAGCGATGAAGAAAAGGGAACAAAAAAGAGATCTCCAAGTGCGTCACCGCAAAAAGGTTTCATGTCTCCGCCTAATCCAGCTCCGCCTGTCATTGAGCCTTTATCTGTGTTAAGTAAACTAGGGGATCTATCGAAGATTGATATCAGCGAGGAGGTTACGAAACTTTTAAATACTATGAAGAACAATTTACCGACAACAGAAAACGTTACTAATGTAGCCGATTCGATTTCCTCACGCGATCCGCGGTCAAGACGTTCTCCCGACAAGGGCATCGAGTCGCCCAAGTCGATTCCCGCGAAGAAGCCAGCTAGGGTATCCATTTACGAATGTCTCGACGGTGAGCCGACCGATGGACGTCGAAGAAGTGACGTCGATCTCAGGAAACCAGATTTCAAACCCACCTTAAGCGATACCGACTTACGACAAAGCGGTAGTCTCGATATCGACTTAAGATTAGGCTTGCCATTTAAAGCTATACCCAACTATACACCCGCGTCTGAAATAAACGGTTCGATAAACAACCACCCGCCTATTCAATATAAACTAGTTCTTATTCATATACCTCGACCCGATTATACAGATATCAAAAACAGTACAGCGAAATCGCAGGCTTTAGTCGATCCGCGGTTACGAAAAGTATTCAGACTATCTACAGAAGAATCCGGTAGTGACACCGAGAAACCCGCCGTTGCGGCCCCCGTTAGCACCGGGCCGAGGGTCGACCCTCGAAGGAAGCCAAAGGAACCCATAGAAAGTGTTAATATCGAACCGAAAACGAACGGTCTAGAGTTGCAAACGATATTGCAAAACTCAAACTGGTACAAAGATTTGAGTACGACGCAAAAGATATTCGTTAACCAGCATTTGGCGCCCGTGACGCAGCAGATAAAACAGTTCCATCAGGATAGAACGCCTGGGAAGAAGTTCGATCTAGCGTCTATACAGAGCAATAATGTCCTCTGCAGTATATTCACCAATTTGGGCGTCACGCTCGGGGAGAACGCCGAATTTTCACAGCTGCCGAAGCCGAAGGAGGCCTTGTTGAAAACTCCTATTAATTTCAATCAAAATCCCAATCCGTTCGCCGTTTCGAATAGTATGAACTCGCCATCGGGTGGGATGGAACCCAATATGAATATGATGAACGTTCCACCCATGGGTATGGGCGGGATGAATAACATGAACGTGGGACATATGCATTATAACCAGCCCTTATCGGATCCCAGGAACGGACCCACGCCGGGTCTCTTAGGTATCGCTCCTAACATTCCGCATAACTTTAATAACAATAAATTTGGGCCTCCCAATAACTTTGGAAACATGGGTTATAACGGGCCGGGGAATGACTTTAATTTCATGGATGGAGATCAGAACTTCCAGCGGTTTCCACACCGAGGCGGCCACAGGGGGCGCGGTAACGACAGGTGGAATCGCGGTGGCTCCAACCGCGGGCAAAGGGATCGAAAGAACTTCGACCGCGGTAATTGGAAGAAGTGAAAGGACGGTGTAAATACTGAGTAACAGCTTCCACGTATAACTAAATGTGATCAAGGTGATACATTTTAGTGTTTAGGCATTAGACTCACGGGGGGTAGAAATTTTTAATTTATATTGTATTATACTCTTAACGGATTAAGGAGTCATTTATATTATGTACGAGCCTTATTGTAAATATTATTAACGTTTAAACGTAAGCTTGAAACAAAAATAAGCATAATCACGGAATTAATTGCATAAGTATCTTAAGTTCCAGAATTAGGGTTTGTTTAAAGTACTCATTATACGAGCCAAATGTTTTAAGACTGAGCGCGGGTTTATAATCGAGTTTTAAGTTAATTTTAAGTTATATCTTAACAGTATATTAATGATATTGATTCGCTGTAATTTCACAGGAATAATGAAATGAAATCTAACAAGATCGTCAAATATTTTATTGTAACATTATGACATTATGGGAAACTTAATCGAAGCAATACTAGAATGTTTGTATTTGTTGTTGGTGAATAGTCCAATAGCGTTATAATAAATAGTGAATAAAAATGATCATATTTAGTTTTAACAAGTTGTAAAAATGAAAGCCCATTGGATTGAAATAAATCTATTTATATATAATTTAAACGTATTGTTTTTGGCCTACGCTACATAATTCGCAATATGATTTTTTTACAGGGATGACACCGAACAAAAAATTATTATATGCTCCAAAGTTAATGAATGGATGTTTTTCAGTAATGGGCAACGCAGGGGTAAGTTAAGGGAAATCAATCGGAGATTGACTGTAAGATCGATGAAACGAAATTCTTAAAAGCCATTTTAATATGATCACTCCTCGTTTTCATGTTGATGGCGACCTGAGATACTCTTGAGAACGTTGGGGCTACAAATAAAACAATTTTATATACACATTTCTTATTAATAATTAACATTCTAAAAGAAAGGCTGCGTTAACTCTATGTTTAATTGGCAGAGTGGTCTAATAACAAAAAACATCATTTTCAATAAGGGGAGAATAAAAATGCACTATCAACTTAGGCGAAAATGAATTTGTGTATGAATTATGTTAAAAATTTTCGGTCACTGTGCTGTTGTAGATTAACATTTTTAGACGATGAAAATATAAATAACTCAAGTCAAAAAATTGCAGTTAAGCAACTTTGCTTCTAGCGACCCCATTTAATGAATTTGGAGTCGAAAAACCTCTGTTCAACAGACGAACAGACAAACTTAATAGTTAAAAAATATATACATACACAAATTTAAAATGGCGTCTTCATGTTCGTCGAGGCAGTTATAAAATACCACACACTGCTTTGTTGATAGTTTCGGTTGAGATACAAAATAATTGTACAGAAGTTCCAACTCTCTTGATGCGTTCGCAGTGTTAGGCGACGATACTAGAATCACACCTTTTACTCCGACTCGAAGTGCTGGCCAGCAACATTCAAATCTAAGTGTTAGGTAAAAGAAATTAAAAAATATTATTTTTACCGTTTTTGCGAGTCATGTCAATGTAAGTTCCCCACATTGAACGAATGGAGAAACAGCAAGTCTTAGACGCAATAACAAGACTAAGTAGTAAATCTGGTACTTAGACCAATTTCTAATATGTAGTTCCTACTAAATAAGCTAAAACTTTGTAAATTATTAATTGGAGGACAGTTCCATTAAAAGGTTATGATAGGTAAATGTCGGAAATTGCGTCGTATCAATAAACCGAAAAATTATTGACTAAGTGTCGTAAGCTGTGTGAAGTATGCATATAAAATAAGGAAACTATGTAGCAGCCGTAGTCATTGAATAATTTTATTCGCGTTTTAAACTGTTAATATTATTTTAGTACTTGTCGAATAAAGAACAAAAAAAATATATACTTATGATCACCACTGCAGTCCCAAAGCTCAATATCGATATTATTTTGTTCGCCATTCGAAGTCACATTGGGTATCTCAAACTCAACGATTCGCACACCCTGTGTTGGACGTATAGCTTCAGATTCTTCTATATTAATCGATTCGGAGATAAAATTAGCTATAGACGTTTTCCCAGACTATATGAAGGTAAAATAATAATTATATCAAAGGAACTTTTAAACTTTGATTTTAAACGAAATACCACGCGATTCTAATTATCATATCTTCATTTAGAACTCCGATAGAGGCGCTAGTGAATCAAGGTAATTTATTATCTACTTTTTTATTATCTATAAAATGGTAAATACTTGTAAGAAACTCATTTGGGTTATAAGGATAATCTTATTAAAACCTTCTTAACGAAGTTTAAAAAAATATTAGCATTCAATTAGGTAATTACATATAGGAATGCCGAAAATGTAGTTAAAGTTACCGTACATACTTCACAAGGCCCAATCATTAAAATCTTCAGTTTTTGAAGTTGCATCTTGGCACTTAACTAGAAAACCAAAGCAGTAGCACGAATTTTGTAGTTAGAAAAGGAACAGGCTGTTTATCACAAATTGACAAGTCAATGTTTGAAATAATATCCTAGGTAACGCTTAGCAACCAAGCCCTGACCAAACAATATTAATAATTCTACTGTTTGTGTGTTCATTTAGGATAAAAAAGGTTTAAATTATACTGAAATATACCTACTAATAATTTAATAAAACAAAAAATTTAGATTACAATTTTTAAGCCCATCACAAGAAATACATATTTTCAATTAACTTATTAGTTCATAAAACAATCTAATGTAACTAGAAAAATGATCCAAAAGAACAGGTTCCACCGAGATTTGAACTCGGATCGCTGGATTCAGAGTCCAGAGTGCTAACCATTACACCATGGAACCGCACGATATATTGTCAAAAAAGCGGTACGTAATCCCTTTATTTTGATTAAAATTAATTTCTATTTAGTTAAGCAATACATCTTTCAAAATAGTTAATTAAATTGTACAATATGATTTAATAGTTAATTATAACTATTAAGAACCTCGCCGAGTTAATTTATGTGGCATAGAAAGGATTTCGAGTGGTTAACCGCAGATCTGTTATGTTTTGGAAAATATAGGAACGTTTATTCCGGTAAAACACTTTGCTTTGTTCATGCCATTGAAATTGCCAGCCGAGATTAGATTATTATAGTACCGTTACTTATTTACTTCTAGTCCACAGAGAACAAAGTAGGTATGCGTATCTATTTCATCTTATTTTGAGTTATATATTATATCATATATAAGATAAAAGATATAGTGAATTTTTCCATGCGTGGCATATGAAGAACACATTTCTGCCTCCGTTTCATTGATTCACAAGCAGGTGAGTAGTTTGCTTCTGTGTCCTACCAAAACAATTTATTGGTTACCCGGAAGTTGAACCCAGAACGCTTAACGTAATATTAGCTAATGCGTTAAACTATTTAGCTGTAGAACCGGACAATAATATAAATATACAGAAATAAATATCTTTGTTTTGTTTTTAAACAGTCGTGCAAATTACATTATAGTTCGAGGGACGAACAATAGATGGCGCTAGGCGTTATGAATTCGCAGCTATCATAATAATTATTATGCTCGTAGTTTAAAAGATATATTATGACTTACAAGGGTCACTTTTTGTAATATTTAACTATGAATTATTGATTACAAAGTCTTGTTTTTTAATCCTTGACAGTTATTATTTAGTAATTAAACCTCTTAAGATCAAGATTGGTTTTCGTAAGTGGCGTAAACTTATTTATCACTCAACCGTAACTATCAATAATTTAATGAGTGAATATTTGACAAAAGACTACTGCAAGAAACCGTGAATTGTCAGTGCATCCGACATATACATATATATCTGTTTGTGAGGTCGGGAGTTCTGTGCCCGGCCTCACAAAAATCTCCTAAATCTTTGTGTAAGTATATACTGACACATGCTCTCCAGAAAAGAAAATCAAAGCAATGCGATATCTTCCAAAACCATAGGTGGGAAAGACTTATTATGCCATATGCAAACATCTATTTGGCCACTGTGATATGTTAGGGCCCTTTTATACTTAATATAGACCTTAGTCTGACTGAGAGGAATATTCAAGAGCTTATGACGTATGCAAAAAAACCAGTCATAATACCAGTCCATACGTTAATACGAAAATGGTTTAAATAAAACACTTTAACGATTTAAAACGCGATATATTAGTTAAACTTATTTGGGAATGATTTTGGGACGTTTCGGATGCTTTGCAGCAACCTCCCGGGGAGTCTCCTCGTGACCACGGCTGCTGCAAAGCATCCAAAACGTCGGGCCAAAGTTAAAAATAATTCCTAAATAAGTTTAATTAATATATCGCGTTTTAAACCGTTAAATGTTTTATTCAATGTGTAATACAGGTAAACTACGCAGTACGAAATGGTTTTAACAAAATACAATAGATCGTATAAAAACGTTAACGTGTTTTATTTAAATATGCAGTTAAGCTAGGAATCGTATCTTGTTATAAGCTCTTCAAAATTCCAATAACGGCCCTTATTATCTAACCTATAAATGGAAACGCATCCGGGTTCATCGTACTATCCCGCCTTTACGGTTCAAATCGTACTAGGCAGGAACCTAGCTATCCTAACTCTGTTCCTAGGTCGTCGACCGCTGCGAGCCTCGAAGGCGGTAGATTAGCAGGATACGATAAAATTTAATACCTAATGCTTAGAGCTTTGTTCATTACGAGAAAAGAGAGTTATGTGTTTTGAAATAGACAAGAATTCAATAGCCTATTAGATTTTGTATTACCTTTTTTCAATGACAAGATCACGAACATCGTGCTAAATTCTTTGATAATCAGATATTTATTTTACGTTTAAAGACGTTGCCTCAGAAATACATTCTTTTTGTCAAAATTTTACTCGCTTAAAATTTAAATACAGCAATTTCAAGTGAGTGGAAATGTTATCTTTCTTAGTTATGAAGTTTAAGGATAGTGTTTTACTTAAGATGAAGGAACTAGTTGTGTAAACTACAAATACGACGCTGTGTATAGACACATACTAATAGAATAGTATTTTTTTTGGCGACTGGCCAAAACGGTAAACAAACAATGATAGATCATAAATCGGTTCTACTCTAAAAACCTTTTTGATTTTCTTAGTTAACGACGGACTAAGTTTAACTTATGTTAATATTTATTTCAGAATATTGATTTCTTTTTAATTTTTATGAGACCTTAGTGACATACTAGTGACTTGCCATATTTAACAAATTGCAAATCCTTCTACTCAGCAAGCTTTTGAATGTTTTACAGTCGATGTGTATACATAATGACTCTACATTTCCCATGTTATTTTAATTCATTGTAGGTAAATATTTTGTAATGATACAAACATCAAGAGTACTATAGATTAAAGTATTTACTTTATAAAACAAAATAAACAAGATTTTTCTACAGATCTTAACTTCTACTACTTAAATTATACAACCTATTATAAAAATCAAAGCGCGCTATAAACTTAAGCTATACCAATAAAGTTACGAAAGATTCGCGCTTAAACGATAAAAGCCGTTTTAATTGGAGCTTAGATTATTTAGTTTTTATGAGTATGAGAAAGAATTACATTAAATAAAACCGATTTCATTTAGTTTTCTTAGTATATTTACGTTAACAGAATACGAGTTTTTAACCATCGATCAGTTCGTCTCTGAATTAGAATAGCAGAATTTATTTATATGATATCCGGGTCTGATGACTTCTGCGATTAAATGTGAGACAAGAGGATCTTCTATCTTCAAATCCCAAGTTGGCTTTGAAAGACATGGAAAACTAAGTTTTATTTTGGGTTTTTCAAATAATCACCCAATAATAAAGAAATCTTGATTTGAAGTTAAGTGTACTAATCACTAGTGACTAGAACAACAAGGCAGAACAAAATGTGTTAAGATAAAAATAAAATATATTTCTAAAATGTTGTAGCGTTGTCCGTGAAACGTTTTCTTTTTTGGAAAATTAGTGAAAAGCATTTGAAACGTCGGATCCTAATTAAAATTAAAAGTAAATTAACAAATATATTTCGCGTTTCGAATCGTTAAATGTGTTTCATTTAAGAAACTAAAAAGATATGTTTAAAAGATAGAAAGCTTAGTACTATTTCTGTTTGAAATTGTAGTCTTTGAAAGCGTTATTTTTTTTTTAATGCCCAGGCATTTGTGAGAAATGGTTCTTGATATTTAACCATCGAGGGTATGGCATATTTAGTTTAAGTACTGTACCTTGTTATATCGAAAAAAGTCGTAAATGGCTACGATTTGTTTCAAAATAAGAAAATTCTACACAAATTTAGTGTTGTTATCGTGAGTATTCCTAAAACATAAAGCCTTTAAGACGTCCTGCTCGCTTGATAAATGTTTCACCAGTGATATATCATGGCATACGCAGGTATTTTACTTATCCATGACTAAGCATGTGCCAATGCGATAGTAATTCATATTACTCCAACGCAACTGCGATGAATATCTCATGGAACAATGTGATATACTCGGAGTGATTAAGAGACTGATTGCTGTCTCTTTGGTAGTAAATACTAATTGGCAATTATATGCAAAATACTATATAGTATTGCATAGCTATGTAGCTGAAGAGTCTGTTTGTTTGTTTCAATGCGCTAATCTTAGGAACTACTGGTTTCTAAGATAGGCAATAACTAATAGGAGCAAAGAAACAGCGGAAAATGTGAAAAAAAAGGAATATTATTCAAAACTTATGTATTAATTAATAAATTCTCTTTAAATGATTTAAAAATGGTCCGCCGCGACGCTTACGGAGTAACAGCATACATTTATAAAGGTGAAGAGGAAGTTTGCAAAAACTAATTTGGAAGACCAAAATTGCTATTCTACGCGGACGAAGTCGCTGACACTAGCTAGCTAAAGTTATAGATAAATTGTATAGGATTTGGTGGCCATTTTGGTACGCACAACATGTCATGATGTCATTCACTCGCTATGGCAAAACGTCGAGGATAATTTCTCAATTACGACGGTCGAACTGCTTGGAAGCCTATGAAACTTTAAAAACATACAAGAAAATATTAATTGTTTAGTTAGGCCTTTAGTAATCATAAACATTAGCTTCTAAGTTTGTTTGAAACTGTTAATAGATAATTACGTCCTAATTGCCCGCTGTAAGTGAAAAGCCCGGACTTATATTGTTTTATTTAAAATAAGCTCTAAAAAATGGGTTGTTATAAAGTACGCTAGAAATAATAATCATTTTTTAAACTATTATTTACATCTACTTCGCCCACTCAAAGTTAGTTTTAAAGGTGCTTAATAAAATTGAAAGAGATAACGTATATACATATATTAAACCGATGTCAATAAAAATAACACGATGATGTCAATATCGTGTTTTATAAATTCTAATAAAAAACAGATACATTTTATTTACTGTTATTGCCTTGTTCGCGCGCAAAATCACACACATCGCAATATTGTTATAATAAAATCACAAAAATCTTCGTTAAATAACGAGTTTCGAGTAAAATGCAAATAAATTGCCTGACAAGAATGTTGTCTTTGATAGCTCGTAACTGGTCTTATGTTCTAACTTTATGTACTTGGTAAGTCAATAATATACTCGTACCACTTTGTACTCTTTAGAAACATCTGATACAACACAGAAAAATTAATAGGTAATATAATTAATTAATTATAGAAAATTCGAAATTGTAGATGCCTAAAAGTGATTTTTGTTTTTCTTCTTTTTTGTCGCGACTTTTTTTTCCGGTTTTTTTTCCTTTTGCGGTTTTCCCCCCCTTTTTTTTTTTTTTTTTTTTTTTTTCTTAGATATACTGCAATCATCGTTTAAAAAATATAATGTGTTTCAAACAAAAAACCTTTCTTTTTGGGGGTTTTTTTTATTTAAATTTTTTTTTAAAAAAAAAAAAAAAAATTTTTTTTTTTTTTTTTTTTTAAAAAATAAAAAAACCCCCCCCGGGGCCCGCCGGGGGCGTTTTTTTGGGGCCCCCCCCCCGCGGCGGGGGGGGGGGGGGCGCCCCCCCCCCCCCGGGGTTTTTTTTTTTCTCCCCAACCCCCCCCTTTTTTTTTCCCCCCCCCCCCCCCCCACCAAAATAAAAAAAAAATATTTTTTTTAAAAAAAAAACCCCCCCCCCCCCGAAGAATTCAAACTTCATTTGATATAATTTTAAGAATAAAATAACAACTCGCAGATTCGTGATTAATAAAAGTTAATATTCAAGTCCATCTCTGAGTTAGTTCTCAATATTGGTATAGGACTTCACAAAAGAGGTCGAGACTTGCAGAATCGTGACATTTGGATAGCTATTCCAGATAAAACAAAATAACGGTCACGTTTGGAATATTCAGTCACAGAGAAAGTTAAATACAATATAGACCAGTGGGTTTGTTATTTTTATTCAATCTTTGTAGACAATAGACACAAAAGTACGAGACAATATAAAAATAGTGAGGTATATCATCTTGTCCAGTGATATAAACTATCTTGCTTCTAAAGTTAAATCTGAAATGATAATAAATTTATAATCCAAAATAATCGCGACGTTAACAAAAAAGCGTGGACGTCACTCTGGGCGTAGACTGAAATATTAATTGTTAATTGTATATGTGCTCTTCGACGAAGCAGACATCGGCAAAAATATTTTTTAACAAAAAAACAACCGAAGTCGAAAACTTAAAGAAAAAAAATACTTCTCACAAAGTAATACGTATTCAATTTTATAATATAATTTAGTCAGTGCCAATTTAAATAATACACAATAAAACTGAATGTATCTTTTGTCAATTTGTCTAAAAACAGACGTATTTAGGATTATTTTATATGTTCTTTTCACTGCTAATAGTAAGCCGCAACAGTAGTGTATTAAAAATTGGTGACATTAGTCATATACCAACGCATTTGAACAGTGTGGTAGGTAATTAAAGAATCACTCCTTGGGCAACCTCCATTAATTAGCTTAATTAATATAAAATATAGAATTTTATCTAATGTTGGTAGTTTTAAAATGTTGGTAGTTGGTAGTTTTAAAAGTATAAACTCCTTAGTCCAAACCTTTCAGATTAACTCACTCGCATCTCGAGTTTCACGAATCCCGCACTGAGTCATTTACAGCTCTCGATAGCATCTCTTAGTTTATTGGACATTGTGCGTACGGCCGATGCTCGATAAAGTGATATCAATGCTTACTACATTAATCAAGCCCTACCACACTCATGCGCACAATGCAAAGGCGATTTTATTGCGAAAATTAAACACTACTCCAGATCGGAGATACGCCTGTAATTGGATTTCAATTGCTGTGTTTTATTTATTTATCGTGGGCAGCCAGTTGAATTGTTAAAAATGTAATTAGCCCACTAGAGGAGGGCCGGAGTTAAGGACCTGTGTATAATCTGTGCTCATTTTATACTTTTTTAAATCTGGTCTTTATTTGTTCTATACTCTATGAACTTGTCACATTTTGGCAAAATGGCGGCAAAACCATTTCTACTAAATGTATGTATGTCAACAAAAGTCAACTTTATAACCTGGACATATAGAAATTTGTTACAGAGAATTGTTGTAACTGTCTCGACAATTATAATAATTGGCACGAGTATTTGTTTTACACATTTTGTGGAAGGTTCACGTAATAAGGACATTCTCGCTTCTCGGAATGGTAGAATTGAGTTGCATGCGAAATTCTTCACAATTCTTAAAACATTAGCCTGTTATTTTAGCTTGCGTCGTAAAGTTTATGAGAAAGAGGCAGAGCTAGTGAAATATTACTTTGAGAACGTCGCTATTACATTTATTATGATATCTAGATAGTTTTAATAAGGCCGGTAAGATACGTTACTTACTATATAACAAATATGAGTTTGAGAAACAATCGTCTAAATTTCAGCCGATTAAAAAGTTATAGTTATCTTTTGGTTTAAACTATACTCGGTCCTTTCTTTTATAAAACCAACAAGACTTTAGAATGTGTATGCAGATAGTTTAAAAAAAAGTCTTTTAACTGACTTATTTAGTTTTAGTGACTTAAACTTTACTTTAAAATAAAAACCTTTACAAATTTAAGAACACGTTTTAAGTTAATTCAATTATGTCTGATGACGTGGTCCCAGAACTGGAGAAGCGATGTGGACTTTTATTCCCACACATTACGACGACATTACAGATTTATTTTGCCACGCTCCATTACTCTTCGCTGCGCAGGTATGTCAACGCGAAATAATGCGGGCTTAACTCGCTTCTTATTGAAGTGAGAAAGCTTCGCTATCATTTTTAATTTGAACCGCTAAATCAGACCGCCCTTGTAGCTAAATGTTCAAACGTGTTGCCTAGCATTAAGCGCGAGAGGGAGTTCCAATACTGGGAAACATAAAACATAGTCTCGGTTTAAGAGAAATGTGTTGTGTTTTATGATATTTTTTAATGTTATTTAGGAAAACGTGAATATTATTTTTAGATGTTTTTATCGGTTTATTGTTTTCAATATCTCCTAACGTTTCACCCTCCTATTTACAACTTAGCCCGGGAAAAGACTGATTATTAATGCACACTTTGGCCTAATGATAAAGTATGGCTCAATCATTTGACTTTCGAATATCCAGAACCAGAACAACAGCACATCTTGTTTAGATATTATATGGCTTGGGTAATTGCACCTACGATCAATTGACCCCATGTTGTCTGTCCTCTTCTATCATAAAATCTCGATTAGTGAAACAGACACAATTATATGTCTACTAGATATCAGTGTTCATTTCATCCATGGTTCTCCCATTGGTTTACTCTGGTAGTTAAAATAAGACATCTTTTTTATCGCATGCATTAGGCATATGTAAATTAAATTTCTCACAATGCGTTAATAATTAATATGGTTAACATAGACGCTGATTATAGCAGCCACTTATCAAGTTTTTATTAATCGTTACAAAGTGAGCTTAGAAATAAATACTGGTATAGGCTCTTATCTAGAATGCAGATGGATACTACAATGTAATAAAAAATATGTTAATCGTCTACGTATTATCCATTTTTGAAAATTACTGATGCATTTAAATAAAACACTTTAACGGTTTAAAACGTGATATGTTAGTTAAACTTATTTGAAAACAGGGAGACTGTCTCCCCGTGTCCACGGCTGCTGCAAAGCATCCGAAACGTCGGGCCGAAGTTAAAAATCATTTTCAAATAAGTTTACTAATATATTTCGCGTTTTAAACAGTTTATTTAAATGTGTACTACTCGCGTAAACTATAGACAGTTTTTAATTAATGATGCTTTTACTTTGTTGTACTTAAGGCGAGCAGCTATTTTTTGTTCCAAAAGAGAAGATTTTGCAAGTATTACGAAAACTTTACATATTTTTCTCCAGAATGAATTTTAGAGGTTAAGATGTTCTTCCAATAATAAAGCTACATCGGAACAACTTTTTGCATATTAAATTTAACTGTTACCACGGCAGATAATGTTTTCATAGATAATTGCAACTTCTCTCTACTCCAATAATAATTCCGTGAAAATCTTTAAAAAATGTATACAAATGTCAGTACAAATGAGTACAGCAATTAAAAAAAGAAAGAAATCAGTAAACGTGTACAAGCATTTGAAATTGATCTGGAAAAAAAGAAAAGAAAAAGATTTAGCGAGCATTTATTTGTGAGCACATAGCATCAAAAACAGCGCGTGTTAGCCGCCTAGTGAGGTGCACTGCAGAGCGGTCGATGCGCGCGCGCAGGACGTATTGCGCGCACTCCGGGACCATTGTCGTGTTGCAGGATTCCTGAACAAAATAAGTAACTTGATTAATACTTTACTTGAAAATATGAGTATATTATAATTATTGATTGAGTGTGATTGTTATGCAAAAAATAACAAAATTCCTTAACTCGAACATATATTTTGACGGGATGGAATGGTGATAATGGGCGTTGGTACGATACCCATTGGTTCCTCCATTTTTCTAAGTATTTTAAACATTTTCTGAAACATGTTGAACTTTGTCTGGAAATGATATTTGTGGTAGGAATGTAAAAAATTCCAAAAAGCAAAAAGTTGGAAAAAGCCGTCAAGTTTAATTTTGTTTGTGTATGTGTGTTAAAGCTATTAAACTTTTGCTTTTAATGTCTTAAATACTTAATGAAATGGTAAAATTAATTAAAATGTCGATGGTTGTAATTAGTGAGTTTGCTTTGAAACTTCGCAAGGAGTTCTATCATAGCTTATTAGGAAATACTTCTACTTATATAAAACACTTTTAACGGTTTAAAACGCGAAATGTATTAGACAACGGTTGCTGCAAAGCATCCTTATCGTCGAGCCGTAGTTTAAATAACTTTAACTAATACACTTTGTAAATCATTGATAGTGTTTCATTTAAATGTGTACTACTCGCGTAAACAACAAATAATACATCAATGCTGCTAATTCCCTATCCCTATTTCGTAAAATGATGATTTTTTATTGCACAATTATTAGCGTTACGTACTGCTTGCAATGTTCAACTACTATAGATATCTATAGTCTATTATTAATACTACTAATAAGTACTCACCTACCTAGGAAACACTTTTAAACCTATGCTACAAAATATAGCGAAACTGTTATAAACTAGTACTTACGGGACGTTTATATTAATGGTGAACTGTAATGGCGAGAAATATTACCTTGTAATGATTCAGTTGAACTTCTTTGAAAGGCGCCGCCCATCCAGTGAATCCCGTTGCACCTACACTAGCCAAAGGATAGTGATTAAATGCTGTTAAGACCTTCTTTGTCTGCATAAAACTCTTGCTGTAATAACCAATGGGGCTAATTGTCGCTGAACTTATCGTATTCTTAGTTAGTTTTGGCACTGGTACACTTTTCATACAATCCTTTTGTTCTTTGTAATCTCTATTAGAATTAAAACTATGACTATCTACTGATGCTACTTTGTTTAGGAGATCCTCTATTCTGACGTCATCGCGTTTCATGTAAATAGTTCTATTGCTTCTACTATCACTACTAATTTTGCTCTTATAAAAGTCTTGCATGAAGTTAAAGAAGAAGACGTTTCTGACTAACACGGCAGAATGTAGATTTGGATCCCATCCTTGGTATGGTAGCCTCTGGAATAAACCATGCCACGTATATGCCGTTTTTGGTACCAGGACCTCATCAACGTCCAGCGGTATGATAAATTTACTTTCTAGAATATTTCTATACAAACAGTCGTTGTATGTAACCAAATGATCACGTCGTCTCTGCCACAGAGACCGTGCCGTATTCTTAATAGGAACTTGAAAAAGTCTAACTAGACCATGGGCCTGATACCGAAGTAATGTTGTTTCAGTGTTTTTATGAACACTATCAACGTATATATCTATCATTTCCGCACCCAAAAGTCTATTTGTTTCTACCCATTCAACTAAACTGAGTGTAATATCATCAGCAAAGTTCATATCTTTCACGCATACAGTAAATTTCCTGCTATATTTTTGAGCGCTTATCGGTGTAACATGAAAACCGTTTGTAGGATTATCACACGGTTCAGTAACAATGGACACTGCTGATTTCTCATTCAAAGGCTCTGTCAAAGGACAAGATAGTAGTAGTGGAGTGTCCACATCATTTGACGTTTGATCCCAATCCTGCCACCATATTTCTAAGAGTTTAGCAGCAACAACTTCCACAGATTCCTGATCTTCACGCGTGGAGCGAGTCTGACAGTACAACTCCTCTAGCGACGAGACATTTCGCCCTGGAAGTTAAAAATACATTATTCAATTTTCATATCATTACTATTTAAATGCGTTTAACGAGTCGAACGGATGTTATTTCGAGATGAGGACATTTAAACACGGCATTAAATAATTAAAGCACGAGAAACTTGTTTATGGAATTGCATCAAATTATGGCTCTAAGGTAAGATGCTTGTATTTTCTATAGCTAAGTAAGAGGAACGTGATTACTGCGAGTTATATAATAGTTATTCGCTTGGCTCATTTCCTTCGATGAATCGTGTATAGCGGGGTTCCTCGGGTATCATTACAACGGTTGTTTGATGGCAAACAACTGTCGTTGCCGGGATGACACTTCCGAGATTGGAACCAGCTAGGTTATTATATTCCCGTTTCTGCATCTGAACTAGAAACTATTTAAGATTTTTCCCTTACTGGTGCGGTACATAAGGGATAATGATAAAACTAATACTTTGAAGTCATATATTCTTTGTAAATATATATATTTAATTTCATTTTATTTTTTCTCTTTTTAAAGCAGGAAAAATTTATAACAAAGTATATTTTTACTTAAAGGCTTTTTTTTTAACTGTATATGTTATGTTTTTAAATAGTTCTTTTACACGTTACATATAACCTTTATATAATTTTATTCCAATTTGAAGTACCTTATTAATTAGAGTAAACAATTAAAATTATAAAAAATCTATTATTTACATTATGAATATATTTTTTTTAGATTACTTATTCTCGTATAGTAAAAATTTTATGTTTTGTATGACGGCATTGTAATAATTAAAAATCTAGTCACTTACTAATATACGGACTCGATTGAGCTCTTAAATTATCCGTCTTTTCTATTCTATCTAAATAGATTGTTAAATAATTTAGTTTTGTTGACCTATTTTCAAAATTATATATTTTGTACTGAATCCAAACTGTTCTTCTACTTCGAATGTATCAATACCGCGCAAAGTAAAAATCTTCAATAGTCCCGTATCAGGATTCGCTTAAAAGGAGAACCATACAGCGAATAGTGTTTTAATCCCATCGTCAGTACAATATAGGAGTGGCGTTTATCTCGCCCTGGATGGAATTTACACGACGCCTTCTCCCGACTCGAGTGACAAATGAGTGCCAGCTTATCGCCTCGTTTCGTGTCTCCGCGCCGTTCTCCAAGTCCGAGGTCTCCTATTAACGCTATAAGCCACATACAGCTTATTAGAACTAATTTCTGATAAGCCAGCTCAAGAGACATCTCGTTCACAACTTGTATCATTTAAATAAATCACTTTTAACGTTTTGTAAGGCGAGTGTATTAGTAACCTATTTTGACTATGGCCCGACGCGAATGTTTTGAGCTACTGTGGTTACAGGACAAACAAAAAAGAAAGGACGTTACACGTGTTTTATTTAAATGTGTACTATTTGCGTAAACTGACAGACAGAACTCGTATCATATTCAACGTTTAACGTCGCGCTAAGCGATAATTCTCGCGACATCATGACTCGCTTTGTTTGGATTTGTTCTTTTTATTCGCCGTTCACATCGCTGGTCGCTGTTGTATATACTTATTTGTTTTAGCGCAGACGAGCGCTTTGCCGTAGCGCTTGGGAGCGTGTGAATAAGGTGAGTTTATATTTTGAGATTTATAGCTTTTATAGGAGACCTCAGCATAACACTTTCGTTTCAGTGCCGTATGTTACGATAAAGTATTTCACTCAGTTTACGCCGCGTTTAGCGCAATCTGATGTGTTAATGAGGTCATTGGGATTTATTGGGACACTTTGCTCTCCCTTATTGTCCTACAATAGAAGAATGCCTGTTGAATTTTAGGGTCTCGTTGGTGCTACAAGCCCTAAAAAAGACGGATCGTGAGTTCAAACCCAATCCGACATGCATGTTTATAAAACATAGTCTAACATTTCTAAACATAAACGACCAACATAAAAAATCAAGAACCATAATCTACCGAAAATTCGGATACGATCTTCGGTAAATTGCCGATTAGTTTTCTATTATACATTTTTTAAATTAAATTTGGTAAATAAAATAAATAAAATTTGGTAATAATTTTCGGTAAATAAAATTGAAAATGTTTCAAATGTTATGACGTTCATTGATAAAGGTTATTTATTACATATAAAAAGGTGGCTTTGGTTTAATTTATGTAATTATAATAATATATATATATATATATGTCATATTCATTTTAAAAGAACTTTAACCATACCATTAAGTTATTTTATTTATTTTGTATGCAGTATTTTTTTATGATAAAGGATAGACATGCATGGGGTCTACTTGATGAAGTAATACCCCAGCCTATAGCATCCAAACAAGGTGTGTTTCGATATTTTGGCTTTGGATATTCGGAAATCCAAGACTTTCTTATCGGGGGGTTTTTCGTGACCGGATGTAATTTCTTATTTCTACCACCCATTGAATAGTACCGATATTATAATCAAATCTAAAGTTTTCAATCTCAAATCGTCTCAACACTTACTCAGATTTCAAGACAACGATTAAACTGTCATATTCAAATGTACTAGTTATTCGTTATAAAAACTTTTCTTATTTAAATTATCGTGCGCGCACACGGCAGAATCAATAATAGTCGTCAAGCGTGGCGCCTAGATCCGTCGAGATCTACAATATTAATTGAGCTTACTGTTTATCGATATATCTTATGCTCATGGGCACAGTGAAATTATGAGTAATGTGGATGGGTATGAGAATAATTGTATATCTACCTTATGACATTAAATTATCCGATTTGACGTCTTTAGTGCACAGACTAAGGAGGTAAAATTCAATTGTTGATGAGGTGACTACAGATAAAAAATTAAAAAAAGATTAAGGTATAATTTCGTTTTTAATATAGTGACTACAGATAAAATTAATAGTGTAGTTCAATGTAGTTAATCTGTAGGTATAATTATCTATTATCACTACACATTGAATTCGCTTTTCTATGGTGCAAAAGGCTCGTCGGTAACGCTGAATATAAAAAGTACAGAATTATAGTATAAGGCTTACTGTATCTGTGTAGCCTTTTTTGTGTCATAGACTAAACAGAAATATGTGGTACAGAGTAAAACAGAAGCTAACTGGATATAGCATAAAAAACTACAGACTACAACAGTAATATAAATTGTAGTGTAAAAACAATTACTTAAAATGTAAATTATATAATTCAAAATGTAGGACAGATACAAAAAAGTTGTAAGTATAACTTATGGTAATTTTTTTGCTGATATCTGACGAAGATTGTAGATAATATTCAGTTCTAAGCAAACGATTGTTTACCAGATACCAGTTGCTATTATAAAGCATTTTTTTTTATTAAAAATCAAGTATCAAAGACACTACAACGTATCAAAAGTTATGCTGCGTATGTAGCCGTCGACTAAAAATATGACATATGCTGAAAATTGTTTTATTTAATAAGTAAGACCTTTAGGCGGTAGTTGGCAGATTTACTTGATACCGCTCCCAAGTCTTCAATTAATTGGTTTCCTTTATTTATATGCCAAGCAAAATGCGCATGGACCACGGACACAGTTAGATCCAATCTCTTTCGAGCTCACTTATTAAAACAAGAGGCTTATGAAGCTGTAAAGATATTTATCATTGCATTGAAGGATTAATTCCGTCCACGATCAATCCTTGCTATACGCTATTCTGATTGTAAAAAAGACGTTAAAAATGTTGTCTCAAATGTATATACTCTTTTAAATAAAACATTTTTAACGGGTACAAATGCGAAATATATTAGTTAATCAATTTAAAATTTTAACGCATTTAAGTGCATAGTTAACTAATATATTTACGTCAACTGCAGACAATACGCGATTAAATAAAAACACTACTTTGTTAGTTTATAACATACAAGTTATATATATTTAAATAAAACACTGTAACGGTTTGAAACGCGAAATATTAGTTAAATATATTTTAACTGCGGCCCGACGTTTCGGATGCTTTGCAACAGCTGTGGTCATGGGGAGACTAAAGATGGAGGGTGTCTCTGACGTCACGCAAACGCCACTGTTCCGTTGAAGTCAGTATTTGGCGACATTGGCCGATTTTTCAATGTGTACTACTCGCATAAACTACAGACAGTATTTAATTATACATAATAATTATGTATACACAATACAAACAATATTTCTAATGATTAATATTATATTTATCTTTTTTAGGATAACTCTTTTAATATTAATACTGTTTTTAGCAAAATCTCCCTTTTGTCTTGCCATTGTTTTAGTATTACAATCCCTTAAATTACATGGTCTAAGCCTTATTACTGTAAGTTTATCTCTAAAAGTTATAAATTTGTGCAAATGTATCTTAACATTCAAAGTTATCGTATATTTTGTCTGTAGCCATCTAAATCTAAATAAGACCTAAGCCATTTCCACTTATACAATTACACAAACATTTACAATATGCATTCACTTACCGTGGAAAATGCCAAGAACGCGTACATAGTGCTGTGGCGTCCTCTGGTCGTAGTACGCGGCGTATAATGACACCCTAGTTCCTTCAACATGCTGCCATTTTGGATGTTCTGATAAGGGAGACCACGCGCGGATCTAAAAAAAAAAACAAATTAATTATCCATCATATCTTAGCCGCGTCCCAACAATGCATTGCCTAGTCTGGGTTCGAATTCTAAAAAAAACAAAAAAAAAATAGTGTACAGACACTAGTAGTACACATTTAAATAAAACACTTTAACGGTTTAAAACGCGATATATTAGTTAAACTTATTTAAATAAGTTTGACTAATATATCGCGTTTTAAACCGTTAAAGTGTTGTATTTAAATGAGATTTGACTTTTCAAGTCTAATAAGAATTCTCATTAGAGAGACTAAACACGTACTATAAAAGAGGGATAGTACTAGCTTTTGAGATTAACAGTTGAGATAAACAATTACGGTAGAGATGGCATTTTTCATTAAATTAGTATTTATTTGCATCCTATGTATGAAGTAGTTACGAAATTTTCGTTCTAATTAATATTAATTCCTTTATGCAGCATAACAAATAAAATAATCGGAATTTACGTAGATGACATTACCTCCAATTATTTTATGTGTTCCCCCGTGACCACGGCTGCTGCGACTGTCTGAAACGACCGGTCGTCGTAAAAATAAAGAATTTAGTATATTTCGCGTTTTAAACCCTTTAAAGGCGTTTATTTGGGAAATGTACAAATAGTTTTGATACCAAAAATATCGAAGTATAACAATAATATGTATTTTACATTTAAAAGCACACAGTACATGGAAAAGACTACAACTTTACAAGCAGGTGAACCTTGAAAGATTTTGAAAATAAATTACTATACACAATAGAATAATGTATAAATAAGGTTTTTTTGTATTATACAAATATAAATTTAATTTAATATACCTTTAAAATGGTATAATGAAACTGTTCTAAAGTAATACCATTACGAAGACTCCTTTCGTTCGCATCGCCTGAGAAAGTCTATGTACTGTCTGATTTATTCTAAGTAATTTGAAATATATCTAGTTTAAAAGTGTAGACAAAACATGGTTCTACGCCCTTGTTTTAAACGTTATTATCCCTTAAAGACCCTAAGAAATGCGCTTCAGAACGGATTTAATGCTAGAGGAGTCGTGCGTGATTAGCCATTGTGTTTTCTTAAACATCGGAGTGCTTCTTGCTTACCTCTTTCACTATTGTTGGATCAGGCAATTTATTCATCAAACAGTTAATTGGAATTTACTGTAACGAGTGAAATTTCTCACGACATAATTTTAAGTAACTATATATTGACTTACAGTGTGGCAGTATAAATAAGATGATACAAAAACGACAGAAGAAACAGATAATTTTTTATGGAATACTTAAGATAATAGAAAATACAGGAAAGTTAAAAGATTAAATATCAAAAAGTTTTCGCTTTTAGATCCAGAAATATGTGTAAAAAAAAAACACAAAAATGCAAGCTTTAAAATTGAAAGTAACTAATGATTTGACCACAAAATGCCATTATGGATTAGGGATAATAAGGACATGTTTTTAAATTATTAAAAAAAAAAACAATATATTAGTAGCTAGAACCTTAATTAATAAAGCAAAATGTTAGTAGTGAGTGTGATATCCTATTTGTATCTATTTCACAGCCAAATTTTATATATGTACATTGAAATCATAATACATAGTTGGACTGACACAAATTATTATGTTTCCGGGGGGTTGAACGCGGAATCTGTCGTGCTTAACGTAATGCGTTTAACCATTGAGTTATGACCATATTTCGGATCTGGACGAAACATTTGACAAATTCAATATTTAAATAAAACACTTTAACGGTTTAAAACGCGATATATTAGTTAAACTTATTTGAAAATGATTTAAAAAAAATTTAATTCTTAAAGCCCTTGACGTTTCGAGACGTTGCTTCGTAGTCCCGCGAATAATCGTCAACGTTAGTTTAACTAATATGTATCGCGTTTTAAACCGTTAAAGTGTTTTATTTAAATGTGTACTACTCGCGTAAGCGACAGACAGTATCTTTAATTCATCTAGACCTGGACGTAAAGATAAAAAATTCTAATCCATTTATCATCATTAGCGAAATGCGGTAGGCGATGTTGCCATTTAAAAATGAAGAATCAAACAATATTTTACATTCATGTAATATGTACGACGGATTATGTCAGTCGGGACTTAAGTCTGCGGGTTGCGCGTGCGCGTTTTATTCACAGATACGTTTATTCTTATCTCTCGTTTTGCGGTATTCATTCAATTTTATGTACGCCGATATAATCCTACTCAATTTCAATCGATTTTATTAATATCTTTATTTTATATAAATTATTATCTGGCTTTTGTATTATAAACCTATTTTATTTATTTACGGACATTGGGGTTTGATGAAAGGTTTCCAGCCCTATTACTAAGGTGCACTGCCGACCTATTTTATGTTTGACCATTTCGCGTTTAAACGCGTTAAAAGGGTTTTATTTAAATGTGTACTACTTACGTAAACTTCAAACGACAAACTTCAGTTTGACTTCATGTAAAATTCTTGAATATATGATGTTTAAATAAATCACTTTAATGGTTTAAAACGCGATATATTAGTTAAACTTATACAAAAATCATTTTCAAATAAGTTTAACTAATATATCGCGTTTTAAACCGTTAAAGTGTTTTATTTAAATGTGTACTACTCGCGTAAACTATAGACAGTATTTAATATATGATGGCATAAAATTAAGTTTGATGGAATTAAATAATTTATATTCAATATGAATGTTATCTTAGACACTTTCATTTCCTGGATGAGCTATTAAACTCTATAATTGCGTTAAAACCTGACTACCACTTCGAGTTAGATGTATAATTATGTAGATTAAGTAAGCAGTGGGAAATGATAACCTTATGTAGTCTATATAGAAAACAATTACTCTAGATTGTAGAAATATTTGATCTCCGTACATCTTATTTGTAGGACATTTCTAAAAGTTATGTATAAATATAACTAAAAAATTAAATTTGATATATTAATTTAGAGTTATACATTAATGTATAACTAACTTATAGAATTACTTACAACTAGAAATAGTACAACAACTACCAAAAGTATAATAAATAATAAAATTACAAGTATCTTTAATATATATTTTCATTCTGCTATTTTATTAAATTAAAAATATAAAATCCTTGACTAAATTATGCATGTACTTCTTTAAATTTTACACAACACCTTTTAGTAAGTACCCTTCATTTACTATAATTTTGTTAGAATGGTCATGCTATATAATTATTAGAATCGAATCTAATTTCCGAGTACGAAGCAAAAAAATTGATTTCTACATCGTACGTAGGTACAATTATTTCCAATATTCCTAGAGCAATGTTCGCATAAATCACTTTATAATCTATGGTTTATTAGCAGCAAAAAATCTTTTGAAGCAACACAACACAAGCTTACGTCTTGTTACTTGGAGGGACTAATACAAGTTCAGTTTCAAAACTTTAATACTATTTACATGTTATTGCACATGATGACATATAGGTATATAGATTAAAAATAGAAAATAAATTTAAAACATTTTCGACTCGGGCAGGATTTGAAGCGGCATCGTCAGCGTTCCGTGCAGTTCCCCTAACCAATTGGTGGTGAAAATGAATAGAATCACAACTAACTAAGTAAACACTGTACTGTGTATTTTAACGCACTAATCTTAGGAACAACTGGTTCGAATTGAAAAGTTCTTATTGTGTTGGTTGAGCCATTTATCGAGGAAAGCTATAAAACATCATGCTGCAAATAAAAATAGTGGGAAATGAGAAAAAAATTGAAAATAACATTCATATTTGAGGGTATCCGTTGCGTGCGTTGCGAAAACGGTTGAAAATACCGAAAATATATGTAAGAAAGAATGATTCCTGTTTAAATAATCTAAAAAAAATCCCAACATATCTTTTAAGAATATCTCACGAGAACCGTTTTATTGGTAATCAAAGTTTGAATAAAACAATTTACCGGTTTAAAACGCGATATATTAGTTGAACTTATTTGAAAATGATTTTTAACTTCGGCCCGACGTTACGGATGCTTTGTAGCAGCCGTGCAGCCGTCTCCCCGTGAGTACTCGTTTGTATCGCGTTTAAAATCTTTAAAGTGTTTTATTTAAATGTGTACTACTCGCGTAAACTATAGACAGTATTTAATCAAAGTTTGATCAAAATACTGCATATGTCAAACGTTCCCCAAGTCACTTAGTCTTTAATATCGGTAATTTTAACTTGGCTACGACGGTGGCAGTTAGAAATAGCCACAGTGTATATTGATTTCTTGTTTTGCATCCAGCAATAGATTATCACTATTGCAAAACAAGTTTTACTCGCAATGAGGAGATCTCGCGGTTAAGCGTGATTTGATAGCCATGCGAAATCTCTGTGGTTGATGGAAAATTGATATTTTGAGGCGAAACAGTACCCATCATTCTATGTGATTATTACAAGTGTAATTAGAAAGGCTTTTGGAACTCTTTTAGCTTGCCATTCGTATTTCGTCTATTTTCTAAATTCAAAGATATACTACATATGTTTTGTATTGGGAATTTCAAAGATATGGAAGGAAGGAAAATTTTTAACGGGCGAAATATTCAAATAAAACAGCGGTTTAAAACGCGATATAGATTAGCTAAACTTATTGGAAAATTATTTTAACTACCGCCCGACGTTTCGGACGCTTTTGCAGCAGGCGTGGTCACGGGGGGACATGGGGAGATAAGTTTAACTATGTATATCGCGTTTTAAGCCGTTAAAGTGTTTAATTTAAATGTGTACTACTCGCGTAAACTACAGACAGTATTTCAGGTAAAATATACTTAATTTTTAATGGCGCTTGTAGAAAAAAGGTGGGATCTTCTTATTATTAATATATCTTTTTATATAAGTATACTGTGAAACTAAATCAAGTAACTTTTGTATTTACGGAAGAGTCAATAGTTGATTTTCACGTGATGTTAAATAATATCTATTTTTGCTAATAGTTAAGCATTATTAATAATAAATGAAGATCAATTTGATTGAAATTCCTAATTCAAGTAACGCGATTACAATGCAAAAATAATTCCTCAAGTAGACGAACTCCTGGATTCGAGTGACTGAGCGTAGGGAATTGGCTTAGTGCGCACTGATGCATAGATTCTGAACTCTAAATACGCAATAATATGTAAATATGCATCACCCAGTCTATAAATATAGCTGGAGGGGTTTGCAGGAAGTAATGCTGCATACAGAATACAATTCACAATGCGTCGTATATTCTTACTAACGCTAAGTTGGGCTTGTTATTTGTATTTGCATAGTATGAGATGCGTTCCACATGATATTGTGGTCTAAGAAATTAAACCTATTGTTTAAGATCTAGAACGAAATACACTTCGATGTCATATGTACAATCTAATTAAGAGTTTTAACTTAACCTTTAAAAGTATTGTCTGATTTTTACGTGAGTATTAGTAGTGAATCAAACATGTAAAATAATATATTTCGGGTTTTAAACTGTTAAAAGTTTTCCATCTAAACCTTTAAAAGTGCTTAATCTTGAATTATTTATAGACATGCAAGAATTTCGCTTAATGAAAGGTAAAATTCTGGTCTTACATCTTATTAATGTGTTAGTAATCGATTTAGACTTAATAAAGATCTGAATACTAAAATTACACTTCACGGTTTATCGGTAGCACGGATTTTTTTTATTCCTACCACTAATCCACGTTGTCCGGGCGAGGTCTAACTGGCTTAGAAAATTCTTTATAAATATATAAAAAAAACAAATTTAACTGTTTAAAACGCGAATTATTTTTTTAAGCAGTTCGAAATGTTTTATTAAAGAATTAATATAAAAAATGAAAAGCTAACTATATTTGGTATGTCTGGAAAATCCGGGATGCGGTCGCAGGATACTGGAGAAGGCCGATCCATCTCCGCCTGCTTCCCCTCAGAGTAAGCCACGATAGTCTTCATAGTGGAATAACTTCGTTGCGGATTCCATCGGGACCTCGTATGCCACTCGTTAACACAAGCAATCCAGCTAACACACAACACGGCTATACCGGCCAACAAAAACCTCCACAGTCTAACAATTTTTCGTCTAGAAAACATTTTTTTACTAAGGGCAACATCTACGACCGCGGTAGAACGCTATGCGCATGCGCTTCGGTTGCGCTACCATGGCGGACTGCGCCGGATCAGCTGATAGCGTATCAACAATACGACCCTTGCGGCTAATCGCTCTAACTCTCAAATAAACTTAGTGCCTGTCTGTATATGTATATAATGAAAAACCGTAGGTGTGTAGTTATGGGTTATAACATTTATTTGTTTGTCTTTTTACGTCAAAGATATCGAACGGATGAATCCAATATTTCTGGAAAGAATTTTACTTAATCGAGTAGGCTTTGTTTTTAAGAGAAAATTATTTTAGTTATTTGAGTAAATACTGTCTGTAGTTAAACTAATACTTTTTAATAAAACACTCTACCGGTTTAAAACGCGAAATATATTAGTCCAACTTATCGTTGTCGCCGTAGCCGAGCAGTAGTTAAAATAATATTCACGAATATATTTCACGTTTTAAACCGTTGAAAAGTGTTAGAGTGTTTAATTTAATTATATTTTAAGTATTTAAAGGTATTGAAGGTTCAATCCAACTGAAATGTCGAATTTTACTTAAAAATAAGTTAATTATACAATTTGCTTATGAAATTGGTAAAACTGTTTTATTTGTAAATAGATACTATCGATGTAATAGTAAGAATATAATACGTAGGAAATTAAATAACATACGATGACTGGAAATTGTTTTTTGCTCTAGAGGGCGTTTGTCAAAGGGTTTATTTCTTGCTTCATTTTCTATTCGAGCTCACATTAAAATGAACGCATCCCACGCGGAACAAGAAATTTTATGGCAAAGTGTCTGGACTCGTTCACCTGGCCATTTGTCTAATTGCGTAAGATCGATTATAGACGGCTGGTTCCATAATTGTTGGGTTTACCGCGGTCTACCAGGATCGGTGGATTATTATACAACGGACGCGTCGCTCTGCATATCGGCGCTAATCAGATTAATCCACCCAGTCCTGTGACTAATGAATTAATAGGAGACAATTATCGTTTAAAAATACAGCGCAGTTTTTCGAAACCGGCGTTAAATTTATGGACTGAATACTAATTTGGTGCGTATTTGATATTGAAACATAACTGAAACAAACTTTATCTTTATAAATCATCTAAAAATATATTAAAATCAATATGCTTCGCGTTTAAACTTGAAAGAAGTTTATTTACTCCATACCTACTTGATTATTTACTGCTTATACTAATATAAAAAATAAGTTGAAGGTTTCAAACCAAACGTTTTAAACAATGTATTTATTTGTATTAAAATGGTATGTGAAGATACATTGAAATGTTTCTCCTAAACTATAATTATAATCCGATAATAATAAACCCGAGAATCATTTCATTTTAATCTCCACAATTTTAAATCACTTTCGACAAATTCCCGCCCAAAAATTAGCCGCCATAATTCAATATTTATGGCGGAGTTAAAAATCGAAAAGTTATCTTAGTCTGTAGTGTGATATAAAAGGAGGTTGTTTGTGTCAGAATTAGAATTAATAGTTGGCACCCCTGATTTTTGTTATTATAGTATAAATGTAATCTGTGGAGCTTATTTATATCATTACATTGGCACCCCTGATTTTCGTTATCGTAGCAATTAATTCCAAGAACTTGTTTGTATCAGAGTTGGCACCCCTGATTTTTCAAAACAATTAATTGCACGAATACAATTAATGTACAGTGGCTATAATAAAGGCGGCGCATAACGTCGCTGTACGCTCGTAAATAACTTACGACAATTTAATATACACATCAAGACTTAAACGCTTTTTCAATAGCTCCAGATTACATCTGACCGTATTAATTTGATACGGCCAGCTACTGTTTAATAATTGTGTACTGCGTGCTGGCCCTTTAAAAACACTGATCAATTGTTCGTTTCCAGTTTAGTTTATAAGGTGCATTCATATTGTTTACAAAAATGAATCGAGTGAGATATTATTAATAATTTTTTTAAATAATTCTAGATCAATATTGTCTACAAAATATATGATGAAACTCTAATGACTTCCCGTTTACAAGATATAGGTGTTTTTTTTTCGAAATCTTCAACTTAATGCTCAAAACTTAATACATTTATAATAAACGTAGTCTCCAATTATTGCCTATATACTTTTATGAAGTGTTAAAAACTTAAATTGCTGTTTTATTGCGTCTAAACTTTATTTGTGTATCAAAGATAATGACCATTTCTTCTTTTTTTCCTTTTATTTTTTTAAAGTTTAATTTTACTTTAATAAAAACCGCATTTATACTTTTTTAATTGCAACACTGTCTTTTTAAGTTACTACCTTCAACGTGGTTAAATGTTGATTTGATACGCTTATCATTTCGATCTCTTAAATATAAAATACTGTTATGTTTTAATTAACGGTGCAAAGGTAACTCAAGTCATTAATTAATATTATTTCTTGTTTGTATACTGGCGGACACCCGCTATGTTGTGCTGTTCAAAAGTTTCAAAGTTACTGGAATGGTGAATTTGTTTTTTTTTTTCCGTCATATAAAATTTACGTATAAGTCGGTAAGCCTCCTTTGTTACAACATCTAAGCCTAACATTGCATCTTAGACTCTTAACTTTATAAACATGCCGTTAAAATTATCTAAACGCTTTTTGGCGTTTGCACTTGTAACAAATTCTTTTGATTATCAAAAATGGAGTGGTAATTCTAGTTTTTAGGGTATGTATTTAGTAAAAAAAAGGGTATGTATTTAGTAAATTTTAGTACTTTTGTCGTATCTTCTGGTGGATGTGGAATGGATGGACAATCTAAGGACTATCTGAATAGTGTTTTAATTTAATAATTTTTTAACCCCGAAAATTATCGTTTAAATCCCTGCTTAATCCACATTTCCCACTGTTGCTTCGCTCCTATTGATCGCAGCGTAATGTTTTACAGCCTTCCTCGATAAATGGTGTAACCGACACGAAGAATTTTCAATTCAAACCAGTAGTTCCCGAGATAAGCGCGTTCAAACTAACAAACTCTTCAGCTTTATAATATTTAATGTATTGTTGTATTCTGGATATAAGCTATAAGTATGTAAGACTAGTTATAAGTATATTGCAAAAAGTTTTGAATAGGTAAGAATTAATTAAATATGAATAGTTCGTAATACAAATCCTTATAAATAGTCGTTATTTAAATTATGCATAAAACGATTATAGTGAATGGGATCAAAGCTCGATCAAGTATGAAATTGCTTCCTGTGGGCTGAGCCTGTTTCGCAAATAAGCAGTTACGCTAAAGACGCCAATTGTTATTTTGCGGTTTTCTTCGATCCGGGTATTATAATGCAATGGAGGACGAACTAACTGGACTTTTACTTCAGGGCGTAATTGTATTCATATACAATTACGCCCTGAAGTAAAAGTCCAGTCTCATGACCAGACTATGTTTTTTTAATATTTTTTGTATATCTCAGAACCAGTGTCAAAAAAAAATATTAATATATAAGTCACTATAATATATAAATAAAGTTACTAATAATAAAAATGTATGTAAATGTAACATTTTATTGTAAATAAATTATTAAATAAAAAAATCAACAGCGTTCCGTGCTGTTTGATCTAACCCAGTGATTTCCAAAGTGGTCTATATCGACCCCTAGGGGGTCTATAATAACCTGCAATTTTTTTTCGCTATAAAATAAAAAAAATTGGAGGTCCATGTAATGAAAATGAGTTAGTTCATTTTCAATACATGGACCCCCCATTTTTTTCACTACAGTTAGAAATTTACAGGAAATCAATATCAGGTAAGTAGTCTACTCAACACGGAAGAACATGGCAAGAGGTCTACGACACAAAAAAGTTTGGGGAACTTTGATCTAACCGATTGACCTACCGTGCGTTTAGTTTGAAAAAAATAACGATGACGTGTAGGCGTCATCGTTATTTTTTTCAACCTAAAATCTATTTTTAATTTATATAATGCCATCGTATCTAATAGCATGTAAAAAACTAATTAAAAACTTCAAACGTTGACGCTCCTAAATTAGTAATGATTACCGGTATCTACATCACAAAAAAAAACAAAAAACTATACATTGATTAGTAAATTGTTAGACCAGGTGAGGATCGAACCCAGGGCCCGTTGATTGTTAGCCATCCATTGATATTACACCAACGAGCAGTCTAAACTAAGACGAATCAGAATGTTTCATTCAACTTTTTAAAACTATTATCTATAATGTTATCTATTTAGGACTGCTCCACAGCACTAACAATTGTAAGACATAAAATCTATTCTATGACTCGAATATAATAAAACAGATATAGATAAAGCAAAGCAGAGTGAATGTGACAGGTAACAAGGAATAGAAATGCCTCTTATCACCGCACGAGCATCTTGTTCGTTAGCTTAGAGCCTGGCCCGTGTTTGTGCCCTAGTGCTAGGGCGACTATTGAACTCTGTATGCGCTGGGCGTTAGACCCTACCCGTAGGGTTGTCTCTCTGAATTAAAAAATAATAATAAAAAAAAAAGTCTTTATTTTCAAAATTTTGATGTTTGCACAACATCTACTATATAAATTGAAAATCGTTTTTTAGATTGAAAAAAAAAATGACGACACGGGCAGGACTTGAACCGCCACCGCAGAATTCACTGCTGTTACCAATTGAGCTACCCTGCCCTACACGTCATCGTCAATTTCCTATTTAAAACGACTATTATGTATAACTTTTACCGACGAGCATGGTATCTTTCATGTAGAATTAGTTATTAAGAACCTCCTCGCTTGTAGGCCCCCTCCAAAGTTGTCCATGATTCCTGGTTTTGGGTAGTTTTTACTCATTGTGGGCAATCGCCTGTATGTCTTTATCTCATCCTGCATCGT